GGTACTCCCTGATGCCCATGTAACTCTTAAAGTTCTCTATAGCTGGGGTGGGGAAACTCAGACCCTTGGGTCAGGCTACCAACCAAAGTCAAATGGAGTTTCTTGCAAGGTGAAATTAGTAGTAGGCTTATCTCACGTCCTGTGAAATCATAATTCCTACACTCAGTAGGGCTTCAGGGACAGATCTTAAAGTACAGACAGATTAGTAAGGATGCAGGCAGTTCTTCAAGTAACATAGCAGAATCATAGACCTGTAGAGTTAGAAGGGACCAAAAGGATCATCTAGTCCACAGTATTGCTTGTGTGATATTTGCACAATTTATTCTGCTCTTAGCAAACTTGGTGAGAATGAAATTTTCTGGGCTGCAGAAGTTTCCTTGTCAAAGGCGTCCTTGCAAAAAAAAATTTTTAAAGTTCTCCCTTGATTAAGCAAAGCAAAAATTTGCTTTGCAATGTGTTTGATCAGCATGGCAGCGTGTCAAGTTTCCACCAAGTTTCCACCAATAGGGTTTAATTTTACCATTCAAGGATGAATGAAGTTATTATCCCTTACTACAGGAGGGCACAAAGTCAAGAGTTCAAATACAAAAAAGCAGCAATGATAAAAACTACAGGGCTCAGGAATCCAGTGCTTTAAATGACAATGTGATTATGTTCACGCATATGAGCATGTACATTTGCGTGTGTTTGTGTAAGGGGAGAGCAGAAACTGGTAAAATAAAAACAAGCCTGACCAGAGCTTGCTCTTCAAGCAGCCCAGCTGCACATGCTTCAGAGAAGGACGTTAAGAAATTCAGTGAGTGCAGGAACAAAAAAACATATACAGCGTCATCCTTTTTGTTTGAAATGTAAATAACTTATCAGGCCAAAAGGTGTTCTCTTCCAGAGGCTGAATAAACATCAGAAATCAGCCTTTGATTTTTTTTTTTTTATGTAGCCCTGAGAGAGCCAGGAGTTGAGGAAATGAAATCAATTTTCTGTACAGCCAGAGTCTCCATTGTGACAGGTCATAGCCTTTCAAAAGCTGGCATCTTGCAGACGCAGATTACTCACAACACTATTTCTCAGTGAGGCTGCAGGCAAGGTAGGAAAGCACCAATATCAGCATCTCTTAGGAGCCAGGTCAAAACATTTTGCCCCCACTAGTATTTTTAATTAGGAGTGCAATTTAACTGATTAATTGTGCACTAGTGGGACTTGTGTTGGCTCCCGCTAGTGCAACGATTTAGTTGACTCAAGGTCTAAGTTTATCGTCTTCAGAGGTTCCTTCTCTATATTGTCCTCTACATCTGAGTAGTAGACAGGCAAGCAGTGACCAAACAAAGCCTTTTTAGTAATTGTGGCACACCCACTAAAAACAACAGCAAAAAACACCTCCCACACCCATGGAGGCTTGCCTGAAGCCAAGTTTGTGGGCATTTTATAACTTTTAATCACTTTGTTTTTATGGTAACTGCTGCTGCCCTGCTGTGTTTTAACTGTATATTATAGTGATAGTTGTATTCTTTTAGCATATTTATAAGCAACTCTGGAAGGGCAATGCCTATTTATTGTTAAGTTTGTTTTGCTTTGGTATTGGTAAGGTTTTCAGCTGTGCGAGAACAGAGCATAGATATTCTGGCTGACCACCTTGCTTTTTTAAGCTAAGGATGGTCCAGAATGGTTATTAAAGGTAAAGGTACCCCTGCCCGTACGGGCCAGTCTTGACAGACTCTAGGGTTGTGCGCCCATCTCACTCTATAGGCCGGGAGCCAGAGCTGTCCGCAGACACTTCCGGGTCACGTGGCCAGCGTGACAAAGCTGCATCTGGCGAGCCAGCGCAGCAGACGGAAACGCCGTTTACCTTCCCGCCAGTAAGCGGTCCCTATTTATCTACTTGCACCCGGAGGTGCTTTCGAACTGCTAGGTTGGCAGGCGCTGGGGGAGCTCACCCCGCTGCGGGGATTCGAACCGCTGACCATGCGATCGGCAAGTCCTAGGCGCTGAGGCTTTTACCCACAGCGCCACCTGCGTCGCGCTAGAATGGTTATTAGTTCGTTTCAATTACTTAATAGTTAAAAGGCATTTGTAACAATTGGAAATATAGTTTTAACACCGAAAACAAGCTAATCCTCCAGAGCTGCGACCCCTACTCACATCCTATTGCAAGCCCCACTGAGTTACTCCAGTTTGTGGAAATATAACTGCAGCCTTATGTTTTGCTACAGCAGGAATTGCAATGAAAATACTGGTTTGCTGTTTAACATCCCAATAGGTACAGTGTAACTATTGATTTCAATTGAATATTTCACAGACCTTTAGCCTTATGTGTTTCACTGCAAGTAAGCCCCTGTGATATAAGAAGGATTTGCTTCCAAAGGCCCCTTGAACAAACATATCAGAGCTCATTTCATAGAACTATGCTACCTTTGTTTTTTAATGTGCAGCTAACAGAACGTCATTATGAATATTGCTTTGTTTTCTGCATGGGATTTTACATACTGGTGTATAATTCAGTATAAACCAAATTATGGGGGGTGGGGTGGGGGGAAAACCTTAACAAAAATCACTCCAGCAATCACCTTTTTAAAATCCACTGAAAAAATGTCACTTTTTAAAAATAGAGCTGAGATCTATGGGCCATTGAAAAAACCCACACTAATCATTTGAATGTTTCTTGCTCTAAAGAAACCCCTGAAATTATTTTAAACAAAGGCAGATTTACCTGCACACTGCTTTTTAAAAAGGGGCTAGTTTTCAACTGGATTTAACATAACGCTAAAGAAAAGTTAACCCTCTCCTGCTGCAGTTCTACATCCATTACAAAAATAAGAAAAATCAATACTGTGATTAATCTGGACCATTAGTCTAGTTTTGACTTACATCTTAACCCTTTCCACAGTAAAGACAAGTAAGTTAGGAGCTGGTATTAGGAATTTATTTCATTTTTTAAAAACCCACAAAAACCTCACAGGGGTCATTCATGAGCAGAGATGGCAAATATTTCTGAAAATCCTGCTAAAGCTTTATTTGTTCCAAAGCCATAAAAGAAAATGAATTAAAAACACAACAAAAACATTCCTACATTCAAAAGACTTTGCTGGCAGAACCGAAGGTTCAAAGTGAAGACTGCAAAACTGCTGACTCCAAGGGGGTAGGCGCGCACACGCAAAGGACACCGTGCCAGGAAGGATGCCCCCCCCCCGGCTTTGCCCAGAGCGCTTTGCAAAGCACCGCCAGCCAGCCCAACTGAGTCACCAGCATTCCCCCAATGCAACAAGGAGAGCTCAGCTTCCGGGAGATTACGAGTCTCTAGTGTGTGCACACACACAGCAACAGCCAGACACACACCCAAACTGGCAGAAACCTGTTCTGCCCGGATCAGCTCGAGCAGCAGCAGCTGCAGCGGCACGAGCTCGAACCTGGGAAAGTGGAACGCGCTCGCGCCGCCGCCGCCAAGCAGGGCGCCCGCGCTCGTGCCCGACAGAGCGCCGCCGGGCAATGCAGCCGCTAGGAGGCGCTCGCCGGGTCCCGCGCGTAATACAATTGTCATTGATGGGGGCAGATTTTTTAAACAAAAAACAAAAAATTGCTTGGAGAAAGGGGGGCGCGCGCACACACAAAAAGTTCATTATGCACTACATAAGTCCTGTAGCCCCTTAGGGTAGCAATCTAGCAATTGGTTTCCTTTGAAGCCCCACCCCAAGGAAGCTGTGGGTTTGCAATTCCTTTATACAGGACTTGCTCGGCACTGGAGTCGGAAACGTCTTGCGGAGCTGCAAAAAAGCCCATTATGAAATTCTCCCTATAGATTTGAAACTGCGGGGGATCAGAACTGCGTTTTGTTGTCACTTAAGCAGCGAGCGACTCCGCATTAATTCCTTAGGGAAGCGCTCACGTCGGGGCTCCGGCACGGGCAGCATCCGTCGAGGATGCTTGGCGGATCTAACTCTCATCCAGGGCTTGCTCTCAATAGGGAAGCATAGGGATGAACGTGAAGCCCATCCTTGCTCTCCCTAGTGCCAATAAGGAGCGCGCGGAGCGGCTCCCAAGTCCCGACCCTCCAGGTACAAGATGTACACGCGCGCACATTCTTAGGGAAATGCAGAACACGCGGTGGGGGGGTGGGGGAGAGAGAGCAAGAAATCCGTGCAGATAACGGGGAAGAAGACGATTCCAGGCGGCTTGCAGCGAGCAGAAAGCTGCTCGCTTGCGTGCCTGCGGCGCAGTTCACCTTAAGGGACCTTACAGCGCAGACTTGGCCAACCGGGCGCGCTCCTCTTGGCTGAAGGAGTGGCTCTCCTTCCTGCCTCAAGCACACCGATCCCTGCAATACTCGAACTGGACACCTCACTCCAGAGACCCAGCAGGGCGAAGTTAGGGAGCGGAATCCCCCCCCTAAAAAAGGCTCCAATAAGGGGGACGTTAACAGGAAAGCATCCTTTACAGGGCACAGCAAAGGGGGCGAATGAGGAGGCGACACATGATGAAGTCCATTCCCCAGAGGGTGGCAGGGATGCCCAGTCTCACGAACTTCGAGAAAGGACATAGAGGTGGCTCTAGTGAGGGACTCTGGCTAGGCGAGCTCTCCAGCCGTTGCCCCCAACCTTCTCCAGGATACTCGGCTGAAGAGGCGGCCGACTATCATGTCTCCGCTTTTGGGGGGGAAGAGGGAATAGAGGCAGTGGCAGGAAAAGCCTTCATTCAGGCAGCGGCATTGCCTCGTGGAGAGGGGCTACTGGGACGAGGAGCCTCAAACGCCCGCGGCGCAAATTAAAGATAAGATTATTCCGCCGGGTCTGAGGGAAAGCGGCGCGACATAAAAGCGGACGTGGCAGAGGCCCGCGCGCTATCTGAAGCGCCTCTCGCCCTCACCCCCATGCCGCCGCCCGGCGCGCGCCCCTGCCTCTGCGCCGCCCCGCCTTCCCCTCGGAGCACGCGGGAGCAGCAGCCCGCCCCTCCTCCGCTGCAATTGCAAAGCCGGGCCCGGCGCGCACATGGCGCTGCTGAGCTGCTGTTGCTGCCGCGCGCGCCGGGTCCGCCGGCGGAGACCGGCTCGAGCCGGTATAAAAAGCTTGAGCTCGAGCACAGCGGCAGCACTGCCGCAGTTGCGAGAGGGACCGGGCGGAGGAGAGTCAGGTGGGGGGTGCGAAGAGGGAGCCCGCCTGGCTGGCTAGCTGGCAGGCAGGCAGGAGAGGAGCGGCGCCCCACAGGGACCCCCCTTCTCGAAAAGCTAGGCGCTGACGGTGCACCCCGCTGGGCATGGGGCAGCCTTGGCACCGGCGGAGAGAGCCTTGCCTCGGGTAACGGGGGGTGGGGGAGCAGCGACCTGCTCCTCTCTTCCCCGCCGAAGCGAAGAGGGTCTTGTCTGAGGCACAGGCTCCACCCTCTCCAAAAGGGGTCTCGAAACTGAGGCGTGTTCCCAGGCCACCTCAGCATGTTACTGACCGGGTCATAGGCCAAAGCTGCACTTCTCTGCAGCTCGGGGAGGAATCTTTTTTTTTTCCTTCCTCCGTTTCCTCTGCCCAAGTTGCAGCTGCAGCATCTACCGACTCGGTAAGTGGCTTTTCTTCTGGACACTGAAGTTTGGTTGTCTTGCTGCTGTAGCTATTTTTTAAAAAAACGTTATTTGCTGCCAACATACTCTTTTTTTTAAGGGGGGGGGAACTATGTGGCCCATTCTGAAGGAGCCGGCTAAATTGTGATGTGCAAAGTGATGCAGACATATGGAGGGCTTAGCCTTCCTGCATCACAAGGAAAGTAGATGGGCTCTTATCTCATCCATATTCCTTCAGGTTGGAGGGGGCTGGGGTTTTTTCCCCCTTCAGAAGAAGGCATTTCCCCCTCTCCCACAGGAACCTCTTTGCACACAATAGTATTGTCTCTTGTCATTGGGCACCCCTCTTTTAAGAAACTTAGCTTGGGGTTGTTTATGCAATGCTATAGACCTGGACATCTCTGCATTCCAACAAGGTATCAAGGCGCTTTGAACCGGATTAAGGATAACCGCATGGCGCAACGTGGGCGCCAAAAGTGTCTCCCTCGCTTCTCTCTCTGACTGCAAATTCTGCAGGCATCATCCTATCCTGATTCAGCCTGGCATGCTGCTTAAGTTCTGTTACCCAGGCTGTAGTCGGGTCTTTGCTTGAGCAGCAGCAGGAGGCTGGAATGCCCTCAATGGGACTCACAGCATGGTACTCATCAGAAGCGGATCAAACTGGTATCTAAGCGTGTCCTGCACAGCAGAGATGAGAAGAGTGTATTTTCTCAAAACCAGACCTGCCTTGCAGATGCACCGAGTGTATTGCCTTTAACTTCTGTATAGCCAAGCACGTTACACAGTCACAGCGAAAATGCAGTCCATGAATGTATTTTTCCTTCTGCCCCACATGATGAAAAAGTCATCTGCAAGTCAGTATTTCAGAGGATTTGTTGCAATGCTAACATTACTTGATATGGTTTATCGGACTGATATTTTTAGCCAGTTTGCATCAAGACTGCAATTTGAAAAGAGTTCTTGCTCTTATTTTACACAGAGTGGTTGAAAAAATAGGCTTCAGATTCCTTCAAGCACAAGATCATTGGGGCATAGACTGTCCTGTCCTGTGATTTCATAAGCACCTGCGCACTGCAGGCACTACTAGAGATAGCAACTGCTGTTCCTAGTTAGTTAATTCTTTGCATATTACTAAGCATTCTATACCTTTATTGGCTTGCATCTAATGATGTACTACAGGGTGGCATTGAAATATATTTAGATTTGATGAATGGATAAAAGATAATCTTCCTTTAATTTGGTTCTTGCAAACTCAAGTTCAAAAACTGCCTCCAATCTACAGCCCAGTTATAGTCTCCAGGTGAAAGAAGTACAATGTCAGTGGGATTCATTTAAAGGCTAATATATTCATTCTTAAGTTACTAGAAAATAACCTTTCAGATAGTTGCTGACCATGTTTTAATGCATTTAAAATTCTCTCCATAAGCAATTCTGAAAATAACCCACTAGATATTTCAGTACTACCACTAAAAGAATCAACAGAGCCCAATCCTAGGCAAATGAAGGTATGTCTAACTAAACCCACTGAAGATACTCTCAATGGTTTAGACACACCGTACTCTGCATACATTACAATTAGACGAACTAGAAGATAAAATATATATTATATATAAACAATTACATACTATATGCAGTTAAACTTGAAACAGTTATAATTGTGTAGCAGAACTTGCCACACAATGGGAGCATTTGGATATTGTTTTCAAAACTCATGTACAGACTTTTCTAAGTAATTAAAATGAGTAAAACTGATAAGAACAAAAATGCTAGCTGTTGAGGTGAGGCAAGATGAAGGTTTGCTGAATGACATCTTCCACCCTCCTCCCCAATATTTCATAACACAAACCAGTCCTTGCCTCTAGGAAACTACAGCTTAAGGACATTCAGAGGAAAGGTAAATTACTGAAGAATCCCAAATCAGTGAATCAGTCCCCCCCCCCTTTCAATTATGACTACCTGGCCAGATGCAGAAAGTTAATTGTAGGGTTGTTTGTTCTATGGCGAGTGTCTCTGCAGATCATTCTGAAAATATATTTACTATCCTGAAAACAATTTTGGTTGCATGGTATCCTGGGAGCAAGATGATCACATAATGGGTTACATTTGTCCACAAAACTGGCCCAGAATCACCCACTGAGCTTCATGACTGAGTGGGGATTTGAAAACTGATCTCCCAGGTCCTAGTTGGACACTGTAACCACTATAGCACACTGGCTTCCTAGAGTACTTCTGCTATGGGGCAGCTATATAAATTAAGAAGGTAAATAAATATGGGGGAAAGCAAAGTGCTACTTAAGATTCTTCTCTTAACTGCTTTGAGATTATTTCTTTAAAATATAAAGTCATATAGAAATGAAATTATTAATAATAAAGAATCGCATTGGAGGAAAATGGCGCCTAGACATTCTGTTGTGGCGACCGCAACCTAGGTTTAAGGTGCCCTTTGGAGATTTACTCATATATCTGAGTTTCTAACACGAACGAAGGAGATTTGCCAAGTGTGTCTGAATTCCCTAGCTTGTGGATGTATGTGATGCAGAATAGTGGCATAGTGGCATTTTTGTTTTTTAAAAATAAAGTTACCTCAAAAGTTTTAGCAATATGTAGAAAACCTAGATGGCAATGAGGAAGTCCCTAGCTGGATCCAAATAAACCTGAGTTATATAAAGCAGCAGCACAAGAAACAAGTTGGCTTGATTTTGTTGTCTTGGAGTCAACACCAAGCAACTCAATGTAGGTCCTTTATCAACATCATCCAGAAACCTTAGCATGTGCAACTGCTGACTAGAATCATAGATAGGCTTGGGCTGCGACAGAACTCGAAGTCTGGAAGGAAGGGTGGAAGGCAGAGTCCCTTCTAGGGGTTGCCATCTGTCTGCTTATGCAATGCAAAACTGCAAGTTTGGGAGAACACTTTCACAGCATTTGTGAAATTTCACAGGGCCTTTGGGTCTGTCATGGGTTTTTCACTAAATTACCTCCTTTCCACTGTATTTAAGTCAGATGACTGCTTCTTAATTGCTTGTTCTTAAATGGAACCAGCTGGTCCTTACGATGAAACATATTTTTCTGATTCTTGATTCAACTAGTTCGATCTTATCCTAAAAGGGAAATGTTTCCATTAGGATACGGTCCCAAAGCAGCAGAAAATCTCTGTGTGATGGAAAAGACAAGTTACCTTTTGTAACAAGGTCTGTGATCCCAAGCATGCTTAGGAGGAAGTAAGCCCCACTGAATTGAGTAAGCCTACTTCCCAGCAGACATATGAGATGTTCTTAGAAAATGTGCTGATCTCGCTCTGTTTCTGTCTCTCCCTGTCATTCCAGGTTAAAAATGACTGTCAAAGCAACAAGAATGTCATGCCTTGCTCCCAATGTTTATACTAAAGTGCCTGATGGAGGATGGGGCTGGATTGTGGCTTTTGCTTTCTTCTTTGTGGAAGCCCTGACATACGGCATTATCAAGTCTTTTGGAGTCTTCTTTATAGACCTAATGGAAAGTTTTGATGAAACCAACAGCAGGATATCATGGATTATCTCAATATGCGTTTTTGTACTAACATTTACAGGTGAGCGGGCAGCACATCTTGTGTTTACACTGAGAGCCTGGTCCCTATGCAAAGAGAAGCATGCCTACCCATTATTTCATAGAAGCACAGAATTGTAGAGCTAGAAGGGACCATGAGGGTCATCTAGTCCAACCCCCTGCAATGCAGGAATCTTTCACCCAACCTGGGGCTCACAACCCCGAGATTAAGAATCTCATGCTCTACCGACTGAGCTATCCCTTTTCACTCTGTAGAAGTCTGGGATCTTAGGATCGTGTGGTTGTATGGCTGTAATTTTGCACATATATCGCAGTCCTACATAAGTACCAAGAAACTGTATGTATGGTATCCACGTACTATGTTAATTGTTGGCAAACACTGACAAGCAAAATGCACACAGAGGTTCACTGGACACCCTGTTTACATACACAGATTGAGAGTACTTTTAAAAGCCTCCGTTTCTCAGACTCTCCTCATTTATAGGGACTTCTGGTTGTGAACGGGATCCGTTCCGGAGGCCCGTTCGCAACATGAAAGGAACACAACCTGCGCACGTCGCGATTCACCACTTCTGTGCATGCGCCTCAATTTTGCTTAAGTTTCAAGGTCAGTTGTGACACTTCTAAAGATTTAGAAGTGCTTCTGTAAGAGCAGAAAAGGAAAGAAATGTTAAAGAGAGTGAAGGGACCAAGAGGGCAAGACAATCTGAGAGATGTAGAAAGTAGTGTTAAGAGTTGGGCACAATATACTTTTGCTCCACCTCCACCATTGTAATGCTTGGAGAGTTAAAGCGAAGGACAAAGCTGGTTTCAGTGTGGCTAGAACAGAGGAATCTCCTCCCAGCAGACACTGCTCCTTAGTGTTTATCCCAAGAAGGCAACTCAATCAAACCAGTTCTTTGGTTAGGGGAAGATAAGTCTGAAAAAGGGGACCAGAACAATGAAGGCTTGTTTCTGACATTAACAGTTGTTTTTTCGAGTTAATTAAATCACATTAGTTAACCTTCTGGGAAACAGTCTCCCTTCAATTTATGTGTGTTAGCATCTGCTCTGTATGGTAGTTTAATTCAAGTTTACTGACAGAAGGCAAATTTCACTTGAGCCCCTTGTCTACTGGTCCTCTGGAAAAGCAAATATAGAACTGAAATTGAATCACTGGAACATTGACCTACATGGTGTCAGCTATTTAATACTTAATACAAAGGTGTGCCAGGGGGTTAATTGGGCTCTGCCAAGCTGGAATCTGCCTAAAACTAAAGCATTCCTCCCCCCCCAAAGGAAATAGCAGCTAGTGACTTGTAATATAATAAAAAGCCAGCAAAGCTTATTATTGCATATGATGAGAGTCGCTATTGTAATTTGAAAGAGGTACATGTTGGGAAAAAACCGTTTCCCTCTTTTGCAGCTCCTCTTTCTACAGTACTGACTAATCGTTTTGGTCATCGCCTGGTGGTGGTGATTGGAGGTTTACTGATCAGTACTGGGATGGTCACAGGCTCCTTTGCACGCACAGTTGTCGAAATGTACATCTCCATTGGCATAGTCTCAGGTAAGTTACATGGTCCATCGTCTAGTGAAACTGCCAGTTATCTCTCTCTCCCCCCCCCCCGATAAATGTTTTAATATTCAGGGCTGGAAGTCCTCAAGGTTCATAATGGCCAAGAGATCTTGCAAAAACAACCACCGCCAAATACTAATTCTTGGTGGGTCTTGGGTTTGTGGAGTTATTGGGCTTTATGGAAACTTCCCTGGGTTGTTATTAACAGCATCATAGATGGGTAGAACTAAACAGATAACCTCACTCAGAAGCCTGGTATGATGCATTCAAACGGCTTGAAAAATTACGCTTGCTGTTAATAAGAAATGGCCAACTTTGCAAATATTTAGCAAGCAACATCACTAATTGTGGGTGGTATGTCTAGAGCAGGGGTTGGCAAGGTTTACCTCGCCTGGGCCGGTTCACTCCAGCGGAGATAACCTCCATGGGCCAGATTGCGTGTGCGCAGATGCGATTTCCGGGGTCTGCGCAGATGTGATTTTTGGTGTCTGCACATACACAGACGCGATTTCTGGCGCTGCAGAAGCAAGTCCCTGCACGGTTTAGCACAGCGCAGGGACTCACTGACCAGGCAGCTTGGTTCGGGGTGGACCGTGGGCTGGTTAAACAACCCCTGTGGGCTGCTTGTGGCCCATAGGCCTTAGGTTGCTGACCCCTGGTCTAGAGTGAGTGGTTTAAAAAAGCTACACACTAATGAAATGGTTTCATCCAATGTCTGCAATTCTGCTATTGTCATGCACTAATAGCATTTGTTTGGCTTTTATTTATAGGCTTAGGATACTGCCTTGCCTTTCTGCCTACAGTCACCATTCTGTCACAGTACTTCGACAAGAAGCGTTCATTAGTCACAGCGGTAGCTTCCACAGGAGAATGCTTTGCTGTCTTCTCTTTTGCACCAGGTACTGAAACACCCTTCTGAGATTTAACCATGATCACAATGTTAACTTGAATCTTAAATACATGTTAAAACAGCTCAGTTGGCTTAATGGTGTGACCTTACTCCCACCAAATGTTTGATTAAGGGCCATCTAATCCAGGGATTGGGCACGGTGGTGTAGAGGAAATTGGACCCCTTCAGCTAGTTCCAGCACACAAATTCTGAGCTGGTTGTGGAGGCTCCCCAAAGTTCAGATTATAATGGTTCAGTGGGCCATTTTGCTCCTTGCCAGGAATCCAGAGAACTCTTATCTGAAGCCAAAATGCCTTCTGCAGTCAGTCTCAGAATATCAAGTCACCAAAGCACAGATCATTAATATCCTTGTACCTCCATTAAAGAACTGTTACATCTTTGGGAGGAAATCGGTCAAGAGAAGATATATGTCAGGCCTTCAGAATGCATGGTCCTTTGCTAGAGCCAAATCATCTTTCCACTCTTATGTGGACTCCCAGGAACAGTCAGTTGGAAAGTCACAGGTGTGGAGGTGCAAAAATACATTGTTGGGAACAGAGAATGGGGGATAAATATAACCACAGCACCTTTATATCTTGAAAGCATGCAGAAGAGAAAATGCAAAGTTCCCATCTTTGTAATTATGTTCTATCCTGCTGGTTGTTAGATTTGAATTCAGACTATTCCCCCCACCACCACTGGCAAACCCACGCCCCCACTCTCAGCCTAGCACTATTTTTACAAACTTTAAAGGGCATAGCAACCCGATGACATACAATCTGGTGGGTTCCCAGTACAGTTTTTTCCAAGCTAAAATTAGCGCTAAGCGCTAACCCCAGCTACCTTGGAATAATGCAGAGCCTATATGAAACGTTATTTGATATGGAAACCAGAGGGTTCCTCACTTGAGAAATCCCAAACCTGAGATCTCAAAAAGCTGGATTACATCAAGCCTTCTCAAACGTGCTAAGATAAGTTGTGCTTTCTCCTAGTCCTTTTGCCATTTTAAAAACTCCCTTTTGCTTTTAAACTGCGTCATCTCCAGCTGTGTTGCAGAATAAGGGAGAGCCTGCCTTCTATCTTGATGCGGTTGAGAAAGATACCTTCCCTATCTCTTTCTCCAGAGGGTGTAGGTTAACATACCTGGGAAAGTAAGACCTCTGCACTAGATTACCCCCTAACAAACAGACAGTGTCTGTGCCTAGTTTGAGCTGATATGTACTGTCACCATCCCTGCTTTCCTGCATAGCATATGTGAGAAATGGCTTGTTATATGGAGGCCAGGCGGTGCATGAAACCTCGTTCCTTGTTAACATCTTCTTATATCTTAGATCCTGCTTCATATACTGCCAAAGCTGGTCCCAAATATTTGAGTCAAGTGTGTAGGAGACACCATGAACAAGTTTGGGCATAACTTGACCCTAAAAACTTGAGCCTCAGGGTTACCTTTGTAAATCAGAGCTTCCTGTTCTATCAGTGAAAGACGTGTTTTACTTTTTCTTATCTGTAGCTATCACTGCTTTGAAGGAGCACATTGGCTGGAGGCATAGCCTCCTGTTTGTTGGCCTACTGCAGCTTGGAATTGTGGCCTGTGGATTCTTGCTGCGGCCCATCATAATCAAAGTGCAGGAAGAAGTGAGAGTGTCGGCAGCAGAAGAGCAGAGAGAGACAAAATACATGCTTGAAAATGAACAGACACGCACCTCCATAGATTCCATTGACTCAGGAGTAGAAGTAACTACCTCACCTCGCAACACGCCTGGAGATGCCAAATCAGAACTGAAAAGTGAGGGACCACCAAAGGAAATCACAGAGGTGCTCATAGAAGCTAGTAGCATCCCTGCCAAGGAACCAAAACCTCAACTCCTAGACTTCTCTGTGATGAAAGACCATGGCTTTATTTGTTATGCACTTTTTGGTTTATTTGCTACTCTGGGATTCTTTGCTCCTTCCCTATACATCATTCCACTTAGCAGGAGCCTTGGAATAAACAAGGACCACTCCGCATACATACTCTCAGCGATGGCAATTGCTGAGGTCTTTGGCAGAATCAGCGCTGGCTGGGTCCTCAACAAAAAGCCTATCCGAAAAATTTACATTGAACTCATCTGTGTCATTCTGCTGGATATTGCCCTCTTTGCCTTCCCTTTTGCATACAATTTTTGGGGACTAATGATATGTAGCATTTACTTCGGGTTCATGCTTGGGACAGTGGCAGGCACACACATCCCTATGTTGGCTGAAGATGACGTCGTCGGCATAGAGAAGATGTCCTCTGCTGCGGGAGTTTACGTATTTATTCAAAGTTTATCAGGGTTGGCTGGACCACCCCTTGCAGGTAAAAATGAGATGCACCCAACTGTTCTTAACTTCTGTTCTAGCTAGGTAACAACTGGGAAAGGGAACAAATGCTTTCAAACAACTAGAAGTGAGCTAAGGGTGAGATCAATAGAAAGATGTGGGAGCATTCATGGAAAACAGTGACTAGCAGGTTAGCAATCGGAAATGGCTGCATCTTGGAAGAAGACACTACACAACAGCACATGCACATTTTCCAGAAAACCAAGTTACCACCAGCACCCTTAAATAAATTAGCCTGATTACTGCCATCCAGGTTACCTTTCGCTGGAGACTAAGTAGCTCACACCTAAGCGAAAAGAAAAGCGTTCCCTGCAACACATTTCAGCCATCTCCAAGGATAGACAAAAGACAACTTGACTGCTGGCACTGTTGTTGTCAGTACAGTGGTACCTCTGGTTGCGAACGGGATCCGTTCCGGAGGCCCGTTCGCAACAGGAAAGGAACACAACCTGCGCACATCGTGATTCACGCTTCTGTGCATGCGCGGGATGTCATTTTGCACGTCTGCGCATGCGGCAAAACCTGGAAGTAACCCTTTCTGGTACTTCCGGGTCGCCACGGGACGCAACATGAAAGCATGTAACCTGAAGCAAACGTAACAAGAGGTATGACTGTATAGTACTTTTAATTTACAATGTGCTTCAGAATCTCTATTGTGTGTTACTCCTCAGAAGAATTATGGTGGGAATTGACAGTCAGGTGAGAAGGTGACTGCCCAAGGCCATTCTTGTTTTCAGTTCAAGTGCAAGTAAGCAAAGAACAAAGAAGAGATAGGTCTAGGGGGGCCCTTCCATCTCCTTGAAGGGGAAAGGTCTAAATGATGCAAAAGGCTTATGAGAAGGGCATCAGCTAACACATTTGATTGAAAGACACAGATGCTATCAACAACACAAAGACAGGAAAGGGTCGTTTTACTTATTCAAGTAGACATTAAGGGGAGGTGGTCTCTCTTCCTTTAGTAGTTGCTTAATAAAACCTGTCTATCCTAGACAGCCGTGATTCTATGTGGTTGTTAATAGCTACCACAACATGCATGGAAAGCCTTGCACTGGTGGGGTAATACTCTTTAAGAATGACTTTTAATTACCTTGCTCGCAAAAGGCTCGCTTGACAACTGCAGTTCAGGAACTGCAACAACATTCCGAAAACTGTTTACAAGCATGAGGTCATAGGAAATCATGGGCAGAAATCCAGAGTACACTTACTGGGAAGTACTTTAGTCAAAATGGTCATTCTTTCCAGGGATTTTTGCGAGCCCATCTTCTAAGTAATTTGGGAGAGGTACTGGCTGCAGTATACAGCTTTTGTAGCTTCAGAAATTACTCCCACAGAACCGCCCCCCCAGCAACTCTAACCCTGCAAATGAAGGGATATGGCATGAGAGAAGTGTAAAGTCTTAAGATGCTTTTGGATATGTTGGATGCTGCCTAGAGTCAGATGGGTGGGGTATAATTTATTATTATTATTATTATTATTATTATTATTATTATTATTATCATCATCATTATTGTTAACGATGTGTGCAAGTGGGGGGGGGGAGATGTTGTTTATGCACAAGTGGCACTTCTCCCTCAGCGTTTTCCTCTAGTATCTTCCTCTAGTATAGTAAATAATAATATCTAGTATCTCCCTTTAAATTACTCTCACATAAAATCCTCAAACTTCATTTGGGCAGCTACAGCTCTGGACTACTTTGCAAAATGTTTAAATGAACTTGTACAAAGAGATTTTTATAGGCTTGTACAAAATGCAGCTTTTGACATGATGTTGCAATATATATTTCCCCCCCTCTCACCCTTACAGGTATGTTAGTGGATACCACAAAGAACTATAGCTCTGCATTCTATTCTTGTGCGGCTGGGATGCTGCTGGCTGCCGTGTTCCTTTCTTTGGTGAGGCCTTGCAAGAAGGTACGTCAAAGGAAGAAGGAGCCACCAGAAGAGAATGTGTCAAAGCCTTTGCAGGATGTACCAGAAGACTTTATAGAGCCTGATCTTGGAAAAAACGAGGATTCTTCAAGAAGCAGTGATAGCGTGGCCTGAGTATTTTTTTACACACACACACACACACACACACACACACACACAGAGTTTAGATTGGGGGGCAAAGCACGTCAGCCCTGATCCACCTTCTCAAATCTACACTTTAAAGGGAATGCAAAATCATAAATGTGAACAGATGCTATCAACCCTTTCAGAAAGATTTATTGTTAGTTTTTTGTATGAACACCTCAAATTCTGATGCCCCCCCCATTGACCTCCATTAAGCGCACTCCTATCTAGCATGAAGTTGTGGTTCAAGCTATCGTATTCCCAATTCCAAAATCACGGGGAAGAAACCAACTATTGCATTAGACAAAGAGCAAGGATGTGTCTTGTAACAAAACAAGTTATTTTGAACTTTTTAGTTGTTTTAAAATCAGGTTAAAGAATAGATACTAATTTTAGAGTGGGTAAAGGGGGTTGAGCTAAATGATATATTGAAGAGAATTAACAGGGTTTTGTTTTTAAAACTTGTTTGAACTTCATGTAGGTTGGGAAGTTGGAGGTTACTATTCTATTTTTATGGCCAGTTATTGTGGATATTTCATGGGACCATTATCTTTCCAGATTTAACGCTGATACAGTCCAACCCTATGTATGTTTATTCAGAACTTTTCAGTGCTTTCAGTAGGGCATATTTAAAAGTGGGCATACAAACTGCAACCTTAGGGCTGGAATCCTGTGCTCACTTATAGTTTGGACAGGGTCCCTTTGGGGTAGAACTGGGCCAGACATGGATCTACTGGATTCTAAATTGGCCTGATTTGCAGAGAGGGACTCGAGCTGGACCCCTCTGGAGTTTGCATACCCAAAAAGACCCACCCCCAAAATGGTCCTCTTCTTCCACCCCCAAACTGGCAGGGCAAAAGACTACTGCTCCAGCCCTTCCTGGTCCCTCATTAAGATTTCCCATCTCATTGAAATTTAGTGGGGATTCCCTCTGAGCACTGCTGAAGTCATGTTCTCTTTTGGTAGTTAGATAAACCAACTTGATTGCATTTTTTAAAATATAAAATAAAATTACCTATTTATTTTAAGACTTATTAGACAATGTCTGTATGGGCAAGTGGGGGGTAGGGGGTTAACATTTTTCACAGGTATTTTAAATGCATTGATATTTTGTAAAACTTTATTGATATGGGTTTTTTTAAGGTGTAGATAGCAGTGTTATCTGTTCTTTTCGAGACAAACTATTTTAAAACACAAGGCACGCAAACATGCTGTTCTTGAATTCAGTCCTGAACAGGAATCGTAGTTCCAACTGTTGAGTAAAACTGAAGCCAGTGGTTAAACAATTTGCTGAATCTAGTGAGAGAATTTTCAAGACAATACCTTCTTTTTACTGTATGTTGGTTGTTTTTCCTTTCCTTTCCTTTTGTATGTTGTGAAGCAGGCCTTCAGCTCTCACAGTGAGTCTCCCTACACCTGTAGGCTTGAGCCAGGCTTGCACCAAAGTATATAGGTTTCACATTCTCAGGTGGTGCAAGACATGCTCAAGCCTACAGACACTGCCTTGTATGGGGCCTTGAGCTGCATGGAAGCACTGACTGTGTGTGTGTGTCATACAGCCCAAAGTTCTGCCATTTGCAAGACTGAAAGCTGTCCCGGTATTGAGCAGTCATGACCACACACATGGCAATCATCAACTCCATGCAACTCACACTGGGCTAGGAGCCCCTAGGCAGGCAAACCAGGGATCATGTGGAGCCAAACGTTATGAGCTGGGCCTTGGCGTCTCATGTGTTTGTGAATGTTCACAACAGCTAAATTCTGCACACGTATCACTAGAGAGTACCTAAAGCAAAAAGAAATTTGCAGTGTAATTCTTATTTTAAATTTAACAAATGTACTCAACAGCTGCCACAGGCATCAAATAACTGGTCCTAAAAATAATTATGCCACCACCCTGGATGCTCAATTGGCCGCAGAGTTGGGTTTGCTTCCCATTAACAGTCAATTATGTGTAAAGAAAAGGGAATGATTAAAGAAGGCAACATGTCAGCTATTCACTTACACTCAATAGATAACTATCAGTGGTAACACAAGCTTGCTTGTCCCACTTTTACGCAATTTTTTTGTCAATGAGACAACTCAGGGGGGACAAAATGAGAAAATAAAAATGTTTCTTTTGGTCCTGGATACACACAGTACAAATTCAAATGCATCTCAGTATTTCAGTAGGAGTGGCATTGCATGCTGACTGCTCTGCTAAGATGCTTATGCATCATCAGCCATAGAAATGAGGGACAATCCAATTTTAAAAGAGAGCAACCACTGGCACCCGAATACATTTTTTGAGGTCCTTGCAATTTCAATGTGGTTAAGTTTCAAACCCATTTTCAAAGATGCTGGTTGATTTTTGGAGTGGAACATACTTGCAAGCTAAGTGTCCTTAACATTGAAATACAAGTATTTTATCGGGTTTCGCCGCATGCGTAGAAGCAGTCCTCAGGTTGTGGAAACCAGAGGTACAAGTCTGAAACCTAAGCATACTTAGTTGGAAGTGTGTTCCACTTGAGTCATTACAATTCAGGGTGTTAAGCTGCCCCCCCAAAAAACATGGGAAAGGGTGCTCTATCATTAGGAGTGGCTTTTGCAATCCACCCTCCTCCCTCACTGCATGAAAACAACTGAAAACTGCATGAAAACAACTGCAGTTTAGTGTGCTTTGAATAACTTCAGCACTTTATAATGTACAACAGAACCTTGATAAATTGCAGCAACAAGTGGGAGTCATGCACCATCCCCAATGGGGAGGTGGGTCACTTTTCTGGAACTAGCAAGTAAGTGAACCAAACATGAAACTTACATTTGCGAAATGTGTTATTTATTTATTTATTTAGCAAGCTTACCTTATGAATTATTTGTCACCGTACCTCTAGAAAAGCAGTTAACATACTAAATTAATTGGCTCAATTAATGACATCTCCGTAATAAAAGACCTCAGTACAGTACATTTTGCTGTTACAACTTTGCTGAAGATAAAACGGTTAAGGAGCACATTCTGTGTTTGTGGGGAAAATCTAGCTGCCCTGCAGTTTAACAAGGTTCTACTGTATCTTCTTCTTTATACAAGGATTTCTATTACTAAATAATATGTGTATAACTGACCACATTGTAAGTTATTGTTCCAAGTACATACTGTATTAGCATGACTAAGAGCATATTTGTGTGCACAAAAGATCCAAAATCAGGATATAACATGGATTGCTGGTTTGTTCTGTACTGTAATTAGTCAACTCTGGAAGTGCTACCAAACACTGAATTTTGCAATAAACTTTTTTTTTAAAGAAATCAACCTTCATGTTTCAGTTTAATAATTCCTCTTTACTCTTCAGTCTTCCCACTTGCCTTTCAGCCGAACAAGTTTTATTCATTAAAAACCTACGGCAATCTCACAAACACTAAAACACATCACAAATGGCCTGGGGTCTGGTAGCTGGAAATCTGATCTGCCGTGAACACAACTTGGTATCTAAACTGAGGGAGACCAAGATGATATATGGTGGAAATCAAGATTTACAAGGCATGGCTGAGGAAGTTGGGTATGTTTAGCCTGGATAAGAGGAGACTGAGAGGAGATATGATAGCCATCTTCAAATATCACAAGGGCTGTCACATGGAGGATGGAGCAATCTTGCTTTCTCCTCCAGAGGCTGGGACCCAAACAAATGGATTCAAGTTACAAGAGATTGCTTCTAAACACCAGCAAGAACTTTCTGACAGTAAGAGCTGTTCAACAGTGGAACAGACTCCCATGAAAGTTGGTGGACTCTTCTTCCTTGGAGGTTTTTAAGCAGAGGTTAGACGGCCATCTGTCATGCATCATCCAGTCAAAAAGTATTGTACTGGAAGAAATAGATACGCATGCAGAGCATCTCTACATGAGGCAGGTTATGGATTGGTTCAGGATACTTCCTCACGTGGAAAAGGATCCATGTACACTGTAACGCATGCAGAACTGCCTCTGACACACTCTGAACATGTAGGCAGTGGGGGTGTGGTTCTTAAGTCTTGACTTCAGCAGGGTGTGGAGCTGGAGACCCCCCCCCCACACACACACAAATACATTCTTTCAACATGTGTACGTTGGCAGGGGAAGTTGCCTAAAACCGCCTCATCTAACAAAGTTAAGCCGAAGTTTCTACCACAATGAGACAACTTCTATTCTCACCGTCCCACACCTTGGTCTCCGCCACGTATCGGCCAGCCATCAGGCTCAGCCGCCACAACCACCTTTCACAGGAGGGGTCACTCCAGGCAGGGGAACAGCTCGGCTACTTTTTCTGGCCTAAAGTGAATTCAATGGCCCCGCCAGCGTACAGAACTTCTAGCAGACGCACACCCCTCTCCCACCCACAAAGACACTTGCATTCACTTCACTTAAGTGGACAACTCTGCACAGGCAGAGTTTAAGTGAATGGGGAAATCCACTTGTGCATGAGTCCTGCATGCCCGTTAACAACATCAAACTCTAGATTGGTTGTACAAGCGTCAAACTTCTTTTCCCCATACTATAAAGCTGTAACATTAGTAACGGCATTACAAAGTAGAAGCAGTTTCTGGTTGGAGTAAAATAGGTGTACAGCATATGCATGGGACTGCCAAATGTTTGGACATTAAACAAAATGCTTCTCCCCCAACCCTCAACATCCTTTGGGGGAAAAGATTTGTTTTCTAAGCATCCTTTTGTTGATCATCAATTGCTAGCCACTTGATTGAAGAACCCGCTTTTGATGGCCTCACTAGCTCATCTTCAGCAAGTCACAAGCTGCCACCCTCAGTTTCTTATCTTTATAGTAAGAATGATTGCTATCTTCATTATTGGTAATATTTCCATCCTTCCCTTCCTTCCAAAGGACCTGCTTCACTGAACTGAGATGATAAAGAGGATTACTGCCCCATGGCTTCTTCTATGTTAGAAGCACTACATAATCAAGTGTGGTGGTCCTTATTAATACAGAGAAGTCCTTATTAAACTGTCTGCATTCTTATTAGTTACAGCAAACCAATTCACAGTCCCCATATGCTCAACAGTATCGTGGAGATGTGGAGGTCTGAAAATGAGGAGCATTTTTCCAGGCTTTGAGGGGCTTTCACATACACACGGATTGGAGGATATTCTCATTCATTCAAAAAGGAGGGAGGAGGGGGAACAGATTATATTACGGGGGAGGGGGAACAGATGTGCAAGCTTGGTTGATGGGTAGCTTTATCTGTCTAGTGGTGCCCCCATCCCAAGACCAAATTGCTGTATTTACATAACTGTAAGGAGCGTTCATGCTTATTCACATCTCTATAAAAAAAGAAAAATGTATCCTGTCCAATTTTTTGATTCCTTAAAATGTTGTTCCTTTAAAGCCATAACAAAATATTCATTTCACTTGAAGCATTCTTTTTAAAACTTTAAATGTGTGGCAGGTTTTTAGTATGCAGGTGTGAATTTTAGGAAGGAAAGGGAAATGAACACATTTCATTTTAATTGCAAAAAGATCTTCAAACGTATTTGCTTTCCAGAAATTCTCATTAAATACACAGGGTGTAAGGCTAGAGAGAGCAGGCTTTGCTTTCAAGAGGCTAGAGAGTTCCCTCTAGTGTGCTGTTCTAGAAAAGATTTACTTATATTAAGACATGTTGAAGGCACCACAAATACAAAGAATATTCTCTAGGCTGTAAGAAGTTACACACACACCCTTGGTGGAATTTAACTTTTACTCAGAGTTTGGTCCATTAATTTAAACAGGTCTACTCTGAGTAAAACTTGAGTTTTCTACTCTGAGTTTTCCTTGGGGGACTAGCTGCCAATTCACTCCAAACTAAGGAGGATTTTACTGACTTCACTGGTCCCTCCAGAGACTCCTCCCCACATCTAGCAGATCAAGACCGGTAGACCCATGAGCTATGGCTGGCTTCCAAAAGCCACACTCCATAATCAGAGAATTCAATAACACATCTTTACATTTCATGCTGCCTTGCAGCAGACCAAGCTATTTACCCCATTAGCTCAGCAGTGGCAAACTTTCGGCTCTCAAATTCCAGTGGCGATGCTAAAATTTGGTACCCCCCCTTGCTCTGTTCTACTGCATTGTTGTGGCACCCCTGCAGTGTGACACTCAAGCTGTACCAGTCATGTTACCCTAACTAAAACCACCTCTGAGCTCAGACTGCCAGGGGCTCTAGCAAGGGTATTTTTGTATCATCTACTGCCTGGTCCTTTTAAACTAGAGATGCCACTGATCTACATGCAACATACGTGCTCTGCTACTGAGATACAGAATCTCCCCCCATGCCAAGCAAGCCCACCAAGACAGAATTGAAGCCCAAACCCTGCTGGATTACTTTAAAACCTGCTTTTTTTGTTAGTTTTGTGGGCCTTCCCAGGATCTGGCCATATTAGCAGGTCTCAATAAAATCCAATGTTGCATTTGCTTTTCCTTTGTGGCAAGCAATACCTCGTTTTAACATTTTCCTCTTGAATTCACCTTTTCTTCGGGAACAAGCCCGGCAAGCATTTGCAGCTGAATAAAAACAGAGCTAGGTTTTTTGGGGGAAACACTTCATCCAATTCAGCAACACGTTAGTCCATACTGTAGGCTATAATGACAATACAATACATTGTGGAAGGCCATAACGAGCAGTGCATACTAGCTCATGCCAGGAATTAGGCAGGAAAAGCCTAAATTTCACGGGTCCCTCAAACGAAACAGCCCTGGGCTGAGTTAAATATACAGATGAATGCTTTCTTTGTAAAAACAAATTAAACTGGCCCTGTCAGCTGTCACTTTTCACTTCCTGGTTGCAATGTAGAAAAAAAGTTATCAAATATTGATCTCAAACAGAGATCAGTTACACCATAGTTCTTTACCATTTTAGTATGTTCATATGTATATATATCCTAGGCCAGAACCTGAATATTAGGGAGTGAGGTTTCAGGTGGGAGGACACCAGCAGCATCTCCTGTTCTCCAAGAGGTCACCGTAGAGGCATTTGGAGGGGGGTTGCTGAGGAGGCGGCGGCAGATCTGTCTTCCAAGGTGTGCGCCGCAGCTGCAGAAGCAGGTGATGCGTTCATTGGAGGCTGGGTCTGTTGCCCTTGTGGATCTCGCCATCCGAGGTGGTCCTTTCACCTCGCATCGTGGGTGGGCTGGCCCTGTTCCTAGGAGCAGATTTAGGGGAACGCAACCGGTTTGGTCGCACCGGGTGTGTAGCCTCGTGGGGCGCTGCAGGGTGCGCCACAGCTATGGTGCAGAATGGAAGGCGAGTGGCACTAGATTGTGGCTTCCACACAACTGAAACTTTGACTTGCTGCTCGCAAAGCAGTTGCTCTGTAACTGACCCATGGCCCTACCATATCTATCTACAGTGGTACCTCTGGTTACAGACGCTTCAGGTTGCAGACGCTTCAGGTTACAGACTCCGCTAACCCAGAAATAGTACCTCAGGTTGAGAACTTTGCTTCAGGATGAGAGCAGAAATCGTGCGGCGGCAGCGGGAGGCCCCATTAGCTAAAGTGGTACCTCAGGTTAAGAACAGTTTCAGGTTAAGAACGGACCTCCAGAACGAATTAAGTTCTTAAACCGAGGTACCACTGTATCCAGATCTATGTATGTGAAAAGAAAGAAAACCAGCTTAATGCATCAGTTGGCAGAGAGTATATTTGGGGCTGACTCTGCTCCAATCTGAGCACGACAACAGGAGAGGGGCTTCAACGCGACGTTTTCTGTTTTTGCTTGTCGGAGGCGGACGGGAGAGGAAACACCCCCTAAAACCACACGGGGAAAGTAGGGGGGCGGTAAGGGAACCCTTCTATTGCGCCAGCGCGCTACGTACCGCGAGCTGCGCCCCGCCCTCCACGCGCCGGGCATCGGGGCCAGCTGGGCGGGCAGAGAGAAGCATGGCTTCCCAGGCAGGCTGCGTAGCGGCGGAAATTTCCACTGCGCCGCCCTGCACCGGAAGCGCCGCACTCCGCCTTCCATTGGCTCCCATCCCCAGCGACGATTTTAAAGCGATTGCGGACACGAAACCTCCACGCCCCCCAGTTGAAGTTGGCGAAGCTTGCTTAAGAGTAAGCAGGAAATCTGGCTGCACATTGCCACCCCAATCCTATTGAACGTCATGATCCCCTGGATTGCCACAAAAACCTACAAGAGCTTTGTTTGGGGGGTAGACATCTCGATGCATCCCTTCCTCAGGCTGGCCCCATACTAAAGAGGCCAGGGCACCGACTTCCTTCAACAGCTGCGTGCAGAAGAGGAAATAGGAGCAGGTGTAGCCTGCAGCACACGGCAACGCTAGCTGAAATTCCCTTCCTCTGCATCCAAGCAAAGGTGTGGAAGCCCCCGGCCTCTTTTGCATCCGATGACCGGACCCTTCCTTCTGCATCCCTCCCCGCTTCCAAAACCGCCCTCTCTCTCGGAAAGGGCTGGCGGCTGCTAACTTGCTCGTGCCACCCAGGATCGGTCCCACCCATCACCAGGCTTGCCCCCGTGCAAAATCTGCAAGTCCCCGCTCGCACCCCCGGCAAAGACAGCCTGCCCCAAAGGGGCAATTTACTCACAGGTCTGCGGCGCTGAGTTACCCCACCGCTGCTGCTGCAGGCGCCGCTCGCGCCCACGTTGCACGGTTCGCGGCCCGTGTGAGCGCGGGCTTTGCGCCGCCCCTTTCCCCGATCCTGGACCAATGGGGACCTTCCCTCTAAACTCCCGAGCTCGGCGAATCCGCATTGCTCCGCGTAATGCAACGCCTTTGGGCAAGGCGAAGTTGCAAGTGGTCGTTGTCTCCCTGCGCAGGCGAGATTTTGCGAGGCCGGCGATGCAGCGAGCAGCAGGGACGCCCGTGGGCGCTTTGCAGGAGAGATCTCCGAAAGCCGTGGCCTGCGCAATGCCGCTGCCCTCATGCTCCAGGAGCTTGCTTCCGGCACGAAAGCTGAGCCGGGGCACTCCGACCGGCTATCCGCGAACCTATTTGTCGCACCAGGCTGCAGCCGGGGCGAGATCCGAGTGCCTCAGCGCACGTGCAGCCTGCACTTCCTGGATCAGCCGCTTGCGGCGCAGTGCACAGAAAGCAGCCACGCCCACCCGCACTTTAATACGCACCACCTGCTTCCAGCGCGCCTCATGTTTGTTTTACAAACTGTGGCACGATCCTGTGCACGTTTACCCAGGAGTAAGTCATCGACAGGAGGTTACATCCGTACAAGCATGCATACGATTGGGCTGTACACTGTTACTAAATAACCACTGCCTCCTAGGATAGCGTAAGTGCAACATCCTCTATTGATCACTGATCAAAGTAGTGCATCCTGAGACACTTTGATCTGTTATAAAGGTAAAGGGACCCCTGACCATTAGGTCCAGTTGTGACCGACTCTGGGGTTGCGGCGCTCATCTCGCTTTATTGGCCGAGGGAGCCGACGTACAGGCTCCGGGTCATGTGGCCAGCATGACTAAGCAGCTTCTAGCAAACCAGAGAAGCGCACAGAAACGCCATTTACCTTCCCGCCAGAGCGGTACCTATTTATCTACTTGCACTTTGACGTGCTTTCGAACTGCTAGGTTGGCAGGAGCAAGGACCGAGCAACGGGAGCTCACCCCATCACGGGGATTCGAACCGCCGACCTTCTGATCGGCAAGTCCTAGGCTCTGTGGTTTAACCCACAGCGTCACCCACGTCCCTTTTTTGATCTGTTATAGCTGAGCCCTATCTGATGAGGGACTGCCTTGCCCATACAGTGGTACCCCAGGTTACATACGCTTCAGGTTACGGACTCTGCTAACCCAGAAATAGTACCTTGGGTTAAAAACTTTGCTTCAGGATGAGAACAGAAATAGCATGGCGGCGGCAGGAGACCCCATTAGCTAAAGTGGTACCCCAGGTTAAGAACAGACCTCCGGAACAAATTAAGTTCTTAACCCAAGGTACCACTGTATATCCCTGCTGGGTGCTGCTCAGATAAGCCACTGCAGAGAGCACCACATGCCCCAGAAGTGTGCTACTTTGTACTAGAAATAGGGCTTTTAATGTTGCTGCTCCAGCCCTTTGGAATTGGTTACCAGCTGAGATCAGACAGATGCAGTGTCTTGATACTTATGCAGCTGTTGAGGATCTTTTTGTTCAAGAAGGCTTTCCCTGAATTGTGACCCAATCTAATTATGGAATACTATTTGTAATATTAATAGAAATGGTTTAATGCTTTTTTAAAAAAGAATTTTTATAGAGTTTGTATTATAGAGCACAAATCAAACAGGGAACCAGGCAGAGGGCCTTCTCTGTAGTGGCACCCGCCCTGTGGAACGCCCTCTGATCAGATGTCAAAGAAATAGACAACTCTCTGACGTTTAGAAGACATCTGAAGGCAGCCCTGTTTAGGGAAGTTCTTAATGACTGATGTTTTAATGTATTTTTAATATTTGTTGGAAGCCACCCAGAGTAGCTGTGGAAACCCAGCCAGATGGGCGGGGTAAAACAAACAAACAAACAAACAAATAATATTAACAATGAAGGGTGGACTATGAATCTTTCATATAAGTAAAAATAATCCTTAACTCTCTGAACAACTCCAACTATTAGAGAATTTAAATTGATTGCATAGCTAAAAACTATTGTGCCTGTATGTTTTAGTTTAATGGATTCAAGACAGGCAGTGTTCTCTGTTCAGTCTACTCATCTTAAGGAAAATTCCCACTACCTTCAGATAATGGACACATCAATCCTCATAAACATTCATTTGAAACTAAATGCTGATTTCAGTGGATATTGCTGCTGAAACCTCACTGTTCCTGACTTTTAGCTTTATAATAGGTAACTCACAGAATTGAGGCAATGAAAAGCTTAGGTTTACTTGATCCATCTATATTATATGAATGTTCTCTGATTTAAAAAAAATGTGTACATCACTCTGTGCCAAAGAGCCATTGCTTGTTTTAGAATTCCAGGTTTTCAAGGTATGTAAATGTTACACAACTGCCCTGCAGGTAGATAATGGTAAGACTGCCAATCAAAAGGGGGACAAGTATGAATCACTGGTGTTAGTTCTTTGGATTCCAACGTAGCTGAAGTATTTTGAAATGTTTTATATGATAGCTCAGAACAAAAAATTAAAGTAAGTAGCAAGGGGAAACCTTGCTCACAAAATAAACTCACTAAACTTTTAAGGACAAGTTGTTTAGTTTCTAACGAAAGAACTAAACAAATCATTCATTCATTCATCATCATCTCATATTTTAGCAGCTGCCCACCACTGAAATAAGAGTGTTCACTTTAACGTTACCTACACCCCAAAGGATTTTACTTCTGTAGAACTTCTAGGCATTTGGAAATCCAGTCATAGCTTTCTTTAAATGCTTCCAATGGTTTCTGCAAACTTGGCCTTGCTTCACTGCTAAGCCCTTCTTCTGTTCCAGTAGCTTCTTCCTCCATCCACTTCTGCAGTGCCTAGGAGAAATCCAAACACTAACTAAAAGTCTTATATAAAATGGTCGTGTCAAATAAAATAAACAGTTAAGATAAACCAATTGGTTTGGCATGGAACCACGATTATGCACCAACAATGACTTCTTTTGTGCATTTTTTTTAGACCACAGCTTTCTCCAGGGCCTTTCAGTTTATTTGTGCCTTTATTTGTTGAAGATAAGGAGACAAAGAGAAGCAAAGAAACAAACCGTAGCAGAAGAAACACAAAGAAATATTTCTTCAGGCTATGTGTGGCAGATCTGTGGATTTATCTCCTCATAAAGAAAATAGTGTGTTAAAATATAACCAGTTCTTAAGCAGTTCAGTGGCTTATTGACATTGACCTCTCAAAATCTAGGGTGGATCTGGGTAGAGGACTGAGAATCCTCAACAATATAATCTCACAATCTGTACAGGGCTGTTTGTACAAGGAGGCAGCATGGGATGGGGGTCACAGAGGAGAAAGTGATAACTCGTCTCTTAAGTTACCGTATTTTTTGCTCTATAGGATGCACCGGACCATAGGACGCACCTTGTTTTAGAGGGGGAGAACAAGAAAAAAAAAATTCTCCCCCTCTCTGCGCAGCGCCCCTTCAGCGAAGTGGCAGGAGAAACAGAGCCGCTTCCATTTCTCCTCCCGTTTCGCTGAAGGGGCGCTGCGCAGCTCTCCCTCTCTGCTGAAGCCCGACCCCTCTCGCTCTCCAGGCTTCAGCGAAAGCAATGCGAAGCCTCCGGAGTGCGGAGGGAGGGCTCCCTCTGCGCTTCGGAGGCTTTGCGTTGCTATCGCTGAAGCCAAGGAGCCTGCATTCGCTCCACAGGACGCACACACATTTCCCTTAATTTTTGGAGGCAAAAAAGTGCGTCCTATAGAGCGAAAAATACGGTATTTCATTTTCAACATTGTTATGCTGTCCCATAACAAAGTTCTCTGTGTGGTGTACAATAAATAAGCAAAAAATACTCTATCTGTTAAATACAAAATGAGACGTAAAATCAAAAGCTACATTAATGCACCCCCCTAAAAAAACCCGTAAGTTGAAAGCAGCCTGCAGTAGTTCCTACACTGCTGGGGTAACACTTGCCCATGTTTAGTTTTAGAGTAAGAGGCAAAAAAGATGGACGTCTCCAACCTGAATGGCAATCTTTTTGTACCTTGTATCTTTCCAGAATGTTGAAGCCAAGGGCGGACTGTAGCTTGCGCAGACAAATGGGGCAAACATCCAATGGGCGTCGGTCCGATTCCTCCAAATGGTTGGAGCCCTGCATGATGCATTCTAACCACTGGCAGTGATGCAGTCCAAAGATGTGCCCAATCTCGTGAGTCAGGGTCTGAAACACAGGACCAAATGAAACAAGGAACAATTGGAGCGTGTGTTCTAAGGACCTGACATTCCCCAGGGCACTACATATAGGGAAGCTTTTTAATGTATGATGTTTCTCTATATATTGGAAGCTGCCCAGAGTGGCTGGGGTGACCCAGTCAGATGGGAGAGGCACAATCAATCAATAATAAGTACTGTATTGTTAGCTCTTTTCCAAGACAAGGTATACACTTAACAGTGATAAAATTTTTGCTCTTTCAGGGAACTTGAACTTGCTGCTACGCAGAGCATTACACAATAAACCCTCCCCAAACAAAACTTGATATTTTCACTTCCCCAACAAAAACTAACTGTTTATGTATTCTGTGCACAGTGGCTTCCACAGGAAAGGCTTGCTTATGCAGAGCTCCAGCCACATCTGCTTCCCAGTTAAACCAAAACGGTTAACTGTGAGCTGGCTATAGGTTCGTCCGTGCTTCCGTTTATCCCACAATTTCTAGGCATGGGTCCGAGCAGTTCTTCATTTGCCCCACCGCTTTCCCCAAGAAAACCCACAGTTTACTGCTGAATTGGAACAAACACCAATCTGCAGGGGGAAAAGCCCAACCCAATTCAGTGGTAAACAATGGGTTTTCCTGAGGGAAAGCAGGGTGGATGAGCCTCATTGCCTTAAGAGGGAGGTGAATTGAGTGGCCTATTCTGAGAGGTTTCATGTAGCCAAAGTAAAGCAGCACATCCAAGCAACATGAGCCTCCCAAATACGACACACAAGACAAAAATGTCGAACTCCTAATAAGACTAAATAAATCATGTTTTTTTCTGGAGATCTGCTAAACATCCAGTTTGTTATTCTAGATCCAAATACTCCCTTGCTACGGCTAGGCCATCAAGCCACAGTGATGTGACAAAACTGGGATTATATCATTTTGGTTTACTGCCAGCAACAAAGTATTGCGTGTTTTTGTGGTTGTATGCCTTTTAGACACTTTTTTTTTTAAAAAAAAGGAGTATAGAAATGGCCTTAAAGAAGTAAAATATATAAACAGTGTTAAGTCCACTTACTTTAACAAAATTAAAGTATTACAGGAAATTTATCAAAGAATTAAAGGAAATGTGGCAACTAAAACACAGATTTGATTTAGATGTGGAAATGTAGTGCCAGAAATCTGAAGCACACCTACTTTGCAGGACCTCAGGAGCAGCTTGCTTGTGATCTCAGGGGTATAGTAGCCATCAAACACAGAATAGTCAGATGGAGGAAGCTTCTTTGTAGTCTTCAGTTTGCCTTTGTAGTTTGCACTGTAAAAGTCGCTGTCATACCTGGCAAAGCTGAAGATCCCCATTCCTTAAATGCAAAGAGGAAATCAAATTAAGGCTCCCACAAAGGGCAGGTGGCTGTGGTGACAGGATAATAGCACCAAAATGCTGAATATACTACTGGAAAAGCAAGTACAATACTTCTAGAAAGTCAGAAATGAGGCTTCTTCCCCTCTTCCACCTAGAAGTGACATGGGGGAAACTTACCCATAAGCCCCTGTTGAGATCAGTCCAGCTACAAAAATGTTCTTGCTCAGATACATGAGCTTCATAAGGTCCCAAGGTCTCCCTAGAACTCCTGGGGCCAGCTGTGGCTTCACAGCAGTCATCTCGAAAAAGAATTCCAAGTTTGCTGTGGGAATGGAACATGTACGACTAAGGTCAGGCTGAGAAAGCATGGGTGGGGCTGGGAGTAACCACAGAACTGCAGCCCCACTGCAGCACCCACCTTTAGCTGCAACTTGCTTCAAGCAAGTTGATGGATAGCATTTTTATTTTATTTTTACATTTGAATCCTAAAGGTAAAGGTACCCCTGCCCGTACGGGCCAGTCTTGCCAGACTCTAGGGTTGTGCGCTCATCTCACTTAAGAGGCCGGGGGCCAGCGCTGTCCGGAGACACTTCCGGGTCACGTGGCCAGCGTGACAAGCTGCATCTGGCGAGCCAGCGCAGCACACGGCACGCCGTTTATCTTCCCGCTGGTAAGCAGTCCCTATTTATCTACTTGCACCCGGGGGTGCTTTCGAACTGCTAGGTTGGCAGGCGCTGGGACCGAACGACGGGAGCGCACCCCGCCACGGGAATTCGAACCGCCGACCATGCGATCAGCAAGTCCTAGGCGCTGAGGGTTTTACCCACAGCGCCACCCGCGTCCCATTTGAATCCTACCCCTACCCTTCCTCTAAGGAGCTCATTACTGGCCTGTAAGAGTTAAGGGAGTCAGGTGAAGGGAGGACAGGCCTCCTGCACTTTTAATAGTTTGTGTAGAGATGGGAGTTTTAGCAAGTGTACTTGCATTACTGAATTTCCTCTGAAATGGTCTCTCGTGTGTGACTAATAAAGTTGCAGGAGTCCAGCCCTCTTTTGAATCTGGCCAATCTCCTCTTACCTTAGGGAAATGACTTGCTCAAAACTCGAGCCACTTCATCGCACTCAAAGAAAATTTCTATTTTGCATAGATTTGTATGGCCTTCCTCTAAACTTGGTAAGCGCTGTTGTTCATTAGCACACCTCAAGGTGGTGTGTTGCAAAGGTCAGACTTTCAGGAAGGGGGTGGTAGGTTTTATCATGAAAATGATACAGGAGGAAATGGATATCCCTGACTTCTATATCTATATCTGAGTGTTGTTGTCCCCCGAGTTGCTTTTTGCAAAAATGAGAAGAGACCCAATCTCGCCTAGTTTTATCCTCATGGTCCAGAATGCCCTACTGTCCTAGACAGCACAGGAGACTTCATTATAAAACTGTTTTGTATGTGCTATTGCCACCCCTCTGTGGTCAAGAGATGTACTGCAACCCTCTTGCAAATCCTCCCTCCCTCTGCACTGTTTATTGGACCTTTATTGAATCAAACGAACCCAGCAGAACCTTTTCAAAGGAATAATTCATTTTCACAACATCAAGCTGGAAATTCTGCAGAAACACCTACCATCTCCGGTATGAAATCTACTGTCCTGATGGGGTAGGAAGGAAAAGCCCAGTTGCTCTAGTGCAGGCACAAACCATGTTCTATCTCAGCAGAAATTTCACAACAATCTGCACAGCCATATTCATTGCAGGTTCATATTAGCATGGGGCCTTAGAAGTTTCTGTTCAGCTTACTTATAGTTATTGCCAGTGCCTTATATGTGAAGAGGCTGGCTCCGCCATTCAAAGGCTGGGGAAGGTAGGGAACGATGTACACCAGGAGTGGAGAAACTCAACCCCCAACAGCCCCAGCCAATGGTCAGGGATGATGGCTGGAGAGCCACAGGTTCTGACCCCTCATCTACATAGTCAGAGCCATGCTAGATCTGCACAAAGGCTTCTAGGATCCTGTGTGAGTAAATAATGCCATTAATCTATGCCAGAAGGCTCTGTGCTGTGTGGAGGACATCTTTCATTCTCACAAGCTGAGCTCTGCTATCATGGCCATGCAGTCATGCATCACACCCTGTCCTCAAGTGGGATGCCTGCAGCTTCAGAGTTGGACTTCAGCTTGCCAGAAGGAAAGATGCCAATCTGAATTCCATCTGTGGCAAAGTTTAACACTGACTACACAGGGTAAGCAGTGGAACAAGATGTGCAGCACAGCTCCCTCAGAAGCAGCCTCAATTTTCAAAGCTTTCTTTCTTCCTCATCATGTGCACTGATAAATAAGAAATGCTTTCCCCTCAATGTGTGTTGTATTTTTATATATAAATACATATACCAAAATAAAAAGTGCACTTCTGGAGCAGCACCACTGCTCAAAAAATAGTTGGCTTGTAGTCAGTCTTACAGTGGTACCTCTGGTTACAAACTTAATTCATTCCGGAGGTCCGTTCTTAACCTGAAACCGTTCTTAAGCTGAGGTACCACTTTAGCTAATGGGGCCTCCTGCTGCCGCCACTGCACAATTTCTGTTCTCATCCTGAGGTAAAGTTCTTAACCCGAGGTACTACTTCCGGGTTAGTGGAGTCTGTAACCCGGGGTGTTTGTAACCCGAGGTACCACTGTACTGATGTTTTGTGCAAAGATAGAAGAAGCTCATTATCAAATTAAAGTCATATATAGTCTTGATGACTTGATAAAGCAATAAACAATGTATATACCTTCAGTCAAGGAGGCTTGGCCAAAGACGAAATTCCAGGAGTCCTTTGGGTAAAGATCTATCATGGTTACTCCCACAATACAAAAAGCATCCTTTGGCTTTTTTTTGTTTAGGTAACTCAAGAAGTGACCTGTATGAACAACAGACGTAGGTCTCTCTCAGCAGAAGCAAAAGGACAGGAGATTGTAAATGCCCTAACACAGTGATAGCATAACCCAGAATTCCAGATGGCTTTTGGAGCTATCTAGTTCTATTAAAATTAATGTGACATTTGCAATGATAATAAGTAGAGATATACAGGGGGGGAAACCTATGGGAGAGAGCAGGGCAAAGAGATTTCCTTTATTGTGCCCTCCAGTATGTCTCCTCGCTTTTGGAAGTTTTTTTTTGGCTTGATGGAAGAGGGCCCAGGATCTGAAAGCTCTCAAGTCCCTGTGATGGCTTACAATCATAGGGCTGTAGAGTTGGAAGGGACCCTGAGGATCAGTATGGTGTAGTGGTTAAGAGCGGTAGTCTCGTTATCTGGGGAACCAGGTTCGCGTCTCCGCTCCTCCACATTCAGCTGCTGGGTGACCTTGGGCTAGTCACACTTCTTTGAAGTCTCTCAGCCCCACTCACCTCACGGAGTGTTTGTTGTGGGGGAGGAAGGGAAAGGAGAATGTTAGCCGCTTTGAGACTCCTTAAAGGGAGTGAAAGGCGGGATATCAAATCCAAACTCTTCTTCTTCTTCTTCTTCATCTAGTCCAACCCCCTGCAATGCAGGAATAGGCAGCTGTCCATATGGGGATGGAGCCTGCGATCTTGGTGTTATCAACACCACGCTCTAACCACTGTGCCTATTGCATTTAGAATGCTTCTGACCCAGGGGAGGTCAATTCTGCTCAGCCTTTGTAAGTGCTGAAGTCATCGTGCAGATTTGTCTTGGGTTCCAGCCCAAGCTCCATGAAACTTTCAGGACTGAAGGGCAACAGGATGAGCCTGCCTCCTCCTTGGGCTTGGGCTGGGCTGGAGGGAAGCAAGAAGTGAGTGTCATGGTTTCCTTTCAGCTGCCCACTTCGAGCACCAGCCAGCTGAGAACTTATGCCTACACACTTGTTTCCACACTTGCTTGTAGCCTGTGCCTACACATTGCCCTGTACACACATTGCCCAGAGACTGCTTTTGGCGGAGGGGAGGGGTGTTCCCAAACCCACTATTTTCCAGCAGCTTTAGAGGGTCTTTATGCTAAGCCATGGACGCGGGTGGCGCTGTGGGTTAAAGCCTCAGCGCCTAGGACTTGCCGATCGAAAGGTCGGCGGTTCGAATCCCCGCGGCGGGGTGCACTCCCGTCGTTCGGTCCCAGCGCCTGCCAACCTAGCAGTTCGAAAGCACCTTCGGGTGCAAGTAGATAAATAGGGACCGCTTACCAGCGGGAAGGTAAACGGCGTTCCATGTGCTGCGCTGGCTCGCCAGATGCAGCTTGTCACGCTGGCCACGTGACCCGGAAGTGTCTGCGGACAGCGCTGGCTCCCGGCCTATAGAGTGAGATGAGCGCACAACCCTAGAGTCTGGCAAGACTGGCCCGTATGGGCAGGGGTACCTTTACCTTTACCTTTTATGCTAAGCCATGCTATGCAAAAGGAATATCAGATACTGTACCTATGTCCTTTAACTACCACTGAGTTAAGCATTCTCCACAGAGAAAAGCAGCAAAACCAACGAGTCTACCACTCGGTTTACCACTAAGCAAATGAAACTGCAGTTTTGTACTCTCCCATTTTGTTTCCGCACAGACCTCTATCTATAGCGCCAGGGGAAGGACACAGCCAGAATTTCCCTCCAGATATAAATAATTTTCAGTTGAAAAGGAATCTAGCCGTCATAACTCTTGCCTACTATCAAGAGTCTACACAACAGATTTTAAGACAGTTATAGTTAATGTGAATAAGATCCATCCAAATACAGTCCCTGTAACAATAAGTAATGGTTTGTTGTTATGTGAATAAGCCAGGGAGAGTCACAGAACTGTGCACCCTTCTTCATTTCATCTCCTTATGTGGCATGGAGAACATTGGGAAGTTTCTGCTTCTGCTTGTAACGAAGTAGAGTTTACTATTATGTCAGAACTGAGACAAACTGTGGTTTGCCTTAGCTATGGTTAACTGAAACAAGCATTCTGTGGACCAAGCTAGATGAGGTGCTGAGGGGCCTGTCATCTAATCTTCTACGCTTTATTTTTCAAGTTGAAAGCAGCTACAGCAAGATGGAGTGGCTCTTGGGGAGAGAGTATTTAACCCTCTCAACCTCCAGTGTTGTTTTCCTGCTTTAAGGCAGCAAACCTATACAGCCAGTTAACTCAGTATGGCTTATTCTTGAGTATGCATGTACAGTGGTACCTCGGGTTACATACGCTTCAGGTTACATATGCTTCAGGTTACACACTCCGCTAACCCAGAAATATTGCTTCAGGTTAAGAACTTTGCTTCAGGATGAGAACAGAAATTGTGCTCCAGCGGTGCAGCGGCAGCGGGAGGCCCCATTAGCTAAAGTGGTGCTTCAGGTTAAGAACAATTTCAGGTTAAGAACGGACCTACGGAACGAATTAAGTACTTAACCTGAGGTATCACTGTACTGTATAGAACTGTAAATCACAAACACAACCTCCCAAAGCTGTTGTTTGTCCCACAGGTGACAAAACCATACAAAAACTGAACAGGAGCACTAGTATTGGGAGGAGCCATAACTCAGTGGAAAAGCACATGCAGAAGGTCCCTGGTTCAATCCCAGGCAACCTCAGTTAAAAGGGCATCACATAGCAGGACCCTGAAGAGCAGCTGCCAGTCAGAGTAGGCAGTAATGGGCTGGACAGAGAAATATTCTCAAATCTGAAGAAGCTTCCTAGGTTTTATATTTCTAAGTGTTGCTCTTTGCAATAGGTGTGAACTGCCGGTCACCCTTCTTGCCTTCATGGCTAAGAACTTCGCAGAAGAATGACAGGCTCACAGAATGACAGGCTCACATGGAAGAATCCCAAAGGCTCAATGCATGAAGCTGACATAAAATCCACAAGAGTTTGAAGACTTTTGGAGTACCATCTCATTTGCTTTCTGATTACAGCCAGTCACTCAGGAGTAAGAATTCTCAGTGTTCTTACTTGCTAAAGAGTGCCATAATGCTATTTTAACACAGCTGAGATATATATGCTAGCCCACAGAACTGGCAAAAATGATGTAACGCCATGAGAAAGTCCCAATCCAAAAGAGTTCCATCTGTTCCCCATACCCAGTGCTTTTTGGGGGGGGCGTGGGGGGTGCATACCCCTAAACATTTTGTGAGTCTAAGTTTGGCCTCATTGAGGGGCAGTATTTCAATATGAGTAGGAAAATGAGAGTACCCCTAAACAGTTGTTTAAAGGAAAAAAGCACTGCTCATACCTGCATGAATCTGCAGATTGTGTGTGTTTTCATTGATCCGAAAAGGGCAACCTGTGTGTGAAACTGGGACTGGACCTAAGATTCTTACAATCAAGCCATAGTAAAAGGCTTCACAGTAATCCTTCAGCCATTTCATGTAGACATCTGTGCTAACTCTGGAATCTCCAAAAGAACCTACCAAAAAACAGTGAAGAAAAGCAGCATGTTATAGCTTCAGCTGTATAGTTCTGCCCCCCTCCCACCTCAAACTACATGAAGAGCTATTGTATACATAGTACTATTTTAAAATATGAGATGTGGGTTTGCATTCAGTATAGTGCTAAAGAAATGCAAACATTTCTGCTTGAAAAAGAACAATCTTCCCTCTCCTCCCTCCCCGATGTGCTGTCTTGGAAGTTCTCGCAAAACTTTTGAGCAGATTTGGGGAGGGCACTGGGGGGAGTCATCTTGTGCTAGCGAGAATCATTGTGCTGGCTTCAGTTACTACATTAATTTAGTTGAATACATCCCATGATTTGTAGTATTTATCTTGTCTGGCTTTAGAATAAGACTCTGAGATGTGCACCATTAGTCTTGTTTTAAAAATGAGGAACAAAGGCAGAGAGATAATGATTTGCCAAAGACCATCTAATGCAGGAATGGCCAACATGGTGCCCTCTAGATTTTGTTGGACTACAACTCCCATAAGCCCAAGTAAGCATGGCAAAAGGCCATGGATAATGGAAGTTGTAGTCTAACATTTGGATGGCACCACGTTGGCTATCTCTCATTTAATAAGTCATAGGGCAGAAGGTTCACAATGCAGAGAAATGTAGACTTACTTATTGGGCAGCAAGCCCCACTGAATTTAATTAGACTTACTTCTGAGTAAACATGTACACAGTTTATCTGTCTGTTTATATCCCACTGGGCACGATATTTATCTCCTGCATATTTTGGTAGGGAGAGCCACATTGTCTTGGCTGCCATTCCAAATAGTAAGCCGGGGTGAGGGGCTGAGATAAAAGTGAAAAGGGGTGTGTTGGCAAAACTATCCAGCACAGTCACAACTGGCTATCAAAGCCAGGAAACATTATCTGAGGGTCAAATTTAGATTTTCCATTTTTAATGGCATACAAAAAGCAAAAACTCTACAAAGGCAAGCACTCAAAAAGTAGCGAAGGTTAAAATTATGGTTGTATATATGATGCATATATGCGGGACACGGGTGGCGCTGTGGGTTAAAGCCTCAGCGCCTAGGACTTGCCGATTGAAAGGTCGGCGGTTCGAATCCCCGCGGCGGGGTGCGCTCCCGTCTTTCGGTCCCAGCGCCTGCCAACCTAGCAGTTCAAAAGCACCCCCGGGTGCAAGTAGATAAATAGGGACCGCTTACTAGCGGGAAGGTAAACGGCGTTCCGTGTGCTGCGCTGGCTCACCAGATGCAGCTTGTCACGCTGGCCACGTGACCCGGAAGTGTCTGCAGACAGCGCTGGCCCCTGGCCTCTTGAGTGAGATGGGCGCACAACCCCAGAGTCTGTCAAGACTGGCCCGTACGGGCAGGGGTACCTTTACCTTATATGATGCAAACGAGAACACAGTCCTTTCACACAAATGACCACTCCTGTTTAAAAAGGTAAAGGACCCCTGACAGTTAAGTCCAGTCGCGAACAACTCTGGGGTTGCAGCGCTCATCTCGCTTTATTGGCCAAGGGAGCTGACATTTGTCCACAGACAGCTTCCGGGTCATGTGGCCAGCATGACTAAGCCGCTTCTGGCGAAACCAGAGCAGCGCACGGAAACGGCATTTACCTTCCCGTCAGAGCAGTACCTATTTATCTACTTGCACTTTGATGTGCTTTAGAACTGCTAGGTTGGCAGGAGCAGGGACCGAGCAACAGGAGCTCACCCCGTTGCGGGGATTTGAACCGCCAACCTTCCGATCGGCAAGCCCCAGAATCAGTGGTTTAGACCACAGCGCCACCCGCGTCACAAATGCCCACTCATTTTTAGCTTTCTTTATTTCAGCAGTCTAATTTAGGTATAAGAAACCGCTGTGTTGTTGCTACTGCTAGACAACTGAAAGTCAGAATCCCCGGCTAGGAATAACTTGCAAACCACCCAGAGATCTACCAGCAGATCCTGATCTACTTTCTGCCCACTTCTGGGCAAGACATTCCCCAGGACTCTATGTAAAGCAGGTTTCTATGCTTCTCATGTACCTCATCCTGATCTACCAATTCCTATGTGTCATGAAACACTTTCTAGACTTCAAAGGACTGGATATACAATAAGGCACATGGTGATGCTTCACAGGTGTCCTGTGTCAACCAAGTGCACCCCAAAATATGAGTGATATCTGCTGCAATGTCCAAGGGCTCTGTGGTAGATGCAGTGGCGTAGCGTGGGTTGTCAGCACCCGGGGCAAGGCAAGTAATTTGCGCCCCCTAACCCGTGGATTTGCGCCCCCTAACCCGTGGATTTGCGCCCCCTAACCTGTGGATTTGCCCTAACCCCAGATGTTGCGGCCGGTGCGGCCGGCCCCCCCTGCACCCACCACGCTACGCCACTGGGTAGATGGGCAAAGACTGTTCAAAGTGAAAAGGCTTCCCTGAAGGTGGAAAGCTTGAAAAACACCAGCTTAATTAGTTCCTATTTAATGACTCATTAAAGAACCTGCCTAGCTTGGTTAGCATGCTTTATTGGCCATAAGGTTCTGTAGGCAGCATTACCAATGGGCTGAACATAAATCCGATTTTTCTGGGGGGTTGGTGTCTTTCTGCAAGGGTCATGATAAAACTGTGCAAAATCCTGGGTGGGTTCTGGGTGTGAGGAGATCCAATCCGACTCCGAATGCAGCGTGATGGGCTTGAAAAGAACACTGCCTGGCCGAAATGCTTCATTTAGCAAACACTTCTCCTTAGGGTTAAACTTCTCATAAAGTTTTGCAAGCTGTATGTCCTTGGAAACCAGGGCTGCCTTCAGCACCTCCTCAGAATGTTTAATAACCTTCATCTAATGAAAGAGAAAGACGAAAAGTGTTACAACATCTGCATTTCACATGCACACATTTTTATTTTATTTTAAACTGTTCCCTTTCTTCCATCACTCCTCACAAGCTCCTATTATTCCTTTCATGATTAGTAACAAGCCACCCACCAGCCATATTTTGCAGCTTGCTGCTTACTCAGCAACCATCAAGTCCTACATGTGCAACATTCAGCTTCCTCATTCCTGTCCTATTTCCATACCCAACCATCATTTCACAATCAGCTTCTGCTTTTGGACAAGACGAGCATGTGAAAGGCTTGCTACAAACTCAGTCGTCAGCCTAGTTCCATACAATGTTCACTGGGTCACCACATCCCAACTTTCACCAAAAAAAATCCAACTACATTTACATTAGTCTGAAACCCACATTGTACCAAGATCTAGGTGGTTCTTAAATCCAGTTACAATTCATGACGTCTGTCCTAATGAAATCGAAGCAGTGGTTTATTAAAATTGTCACTCTGTCTTCAACCACAGCCCATTCTGAACATTTGAGAAACATTAAACAGCACAGGAAACCTATTCTATCATGAATGGCCTTTTAAAATCACATATTAATGATCAGTGGTGCCATCAGTACAGGATGTTGTGGTATGTTCTTATCTTCCTCTTCTGACATGCGTGTGTTGTAGGTGCCATTAAAAACTCCAGGAAACACCAAAAGATTACTTTAGGTCTGTTCAAGAGCTTGGGCCTGCCCAGTGGAAGTTTAAAGGAAAAAAAGAAGGAAAAAAACCATTGACATCTTAACATATCCTAAACTTCTTTCAAAAGTTCCCTCAGTTTCAAAAACAAATTGCTACTTGACTTCTGTGGGGAAGAAGCTAGACTGGTGACTGGGAGCGGCCGCCGAGTCCATATAACACCAGTCTTGAAAGACCTACACTGGCTCCCAGTACGTTTCCGAGCACAATTCAAAGTGTTGGTGTTGACCTTTAAAGCCCTAAACAGCCTCGGTCCAGTATACCTGAAGGAGCGTCTCCACCTCCATCGTTCTGCCCAGACACTGAGGTCCAGCACCGAGGGCCTTCTGGCGGTTCCCTCGCTACGAGAAGCCAAGTTACAGGCAGAGGGAATTCTCAGTAGTGGCACCCGCCCTGTGGAATGCCCTCCCATCAGATGTCAAAGAGAAAATTAACTACCAAACTTTTAGAAGACATCTGAAGGCAGCCCTGTTTAGGGAAGCTTTTAATATTTAATTGTATTTTAGTGTTTTGTTGGATGCCGCCCAGAGTGGCTGGGGAAACCCAGCCAGATGGGTGGGGTATAAATAATAAATTATTATTGTTGTTGTTGTTGTTGTTGTTGTTGTTGTTGTTATTATTTTGTTGTTGTTGCTCTTTTACACACATATGCCAAAAGCCACCTCACATGCGTGAAGCTAAGAGTCCCAGACTGGGTGTCATGGGAGCACTACTTCAGGCAGAGTAGCTTCAACTAATTTTTCAGAGCTTGTTTCCCGAAACAATTTTCTAGAATTTATTGTTTGTTTGCTTATTTAATACATGTTTCCCTTGCCCTTCCTGCTATCAGAGCTCAGGACACCTTGGCAATGAAAAGCCATAGAAGTCATCATATGAACATAACCTTAAAAACAGTAGCTACTCATCATGCTCAATACAGTAGAAAGAAATAATAGGCTGTCATTCCCAATCACCCTTCCCCAAAGGCTTAGCCAAGTATTTATTTATTTTTACTGTTAGCAAAAAAAAAAAAAAAAGACAATTATATAGATCAGCCACAGTTCTGTGAAGAAGGTTCTGACAGAACAATGAAGCTGCTTAGCAAACCTCTTCATCATCTAGCCTATAAAATATAATTTTGTGCCTATATGCATTGGACAGTGTGCAGTTACCCAGACCCCTTGCTATTTTATTCTGAGCAAATCAGCTGCCATTGCCATACACTTACAAACACATGACAGGACCAGCTTCAGGGGCTCCTAGGGCAAGATGCACCAAATGGGCTCCTTTTCAGAATGGATTTACCTCCTCCTTCCTTCACCCCTCTGCTGACCTCAGTCTTGTTCCCCCAGAGCAGCCTTTCTCAACCTGTGGGTCCCCAGATGTTGTTGGACTACAACTCCCATCATCCCTAGCTAGCAAGGCTAGAGCTCAGGGATGATGGGAGTTGTAGTCCAACAACATCTGGGGACCCACAGGTTGAGAACCGCTGCCCCAGAGGGAAGGCACAAGGCAAGTGAAGGAAGCTGCTCTGTCTTCTCTCTTGTATGCTCAACGGGGACAGGTGAGCAGGATGTGACAGTGAGGAGGAACAGGGCCAGGAGGCGGGGGCAGGTGTGTTAGCAGTGGACCAACCACAGAGATGGGGCCCTCAACAATGCTGCTTTTTGTTGAGATTCCTGCATTGCACAAGAGGACTGGAGGAAATTTAAGGACTATTTGAATAAATATTGTAATATAAAAAATTAGAAATTACTTGAGAGAAACAAATAGGCCTAGGATTAAACTAAGTTATAATTAAATAAATGGGATTTAGAATGTTAAGAAAAGTGAATAAGATGGACTATAATTGGAAATTGTTTTAGTTTAATAATGATATTGGAAAGCTGTTACCTTTAATTACAAGGAAACTCAGAAGGGAGGGATTTGAGGAAGTCAACCAAGATGTTTAAAAGGTTAGATTTGAGAAGAATTAAATTTGTTGTTATTGTTTATCTGTTTTTTGTTCCTTTCCCCCCTCCCCCCCCATTTTTGGGTATCATTTTGCTTTGTGGTTTGTGTTATCATTGTGGAAAATCTAATAAAAAAATTATTGAAAAAAAGAAAAAAAGATAGATTCCTGCATTGCACGGGGTTGGACTAGATGACTCTTGGGGTCCCTTCCCACTCAACAATTCTATGATTCTCTAACTTTTCAAGAGGCTGAATTTAATATTTCAGTTACCTGCTAACAGCGTATGCTTTACATTTGACTTGGTTCTGTAATGTTTGGATTGTTTTATTTGATGTTTTAATACAGGTTATAAACCGCTTTGAGATTTTCCCCTCCTTAAAAATATAGAGAGAATCTCTGTCTGTCTGTCTGTCTCTCTCTCTCTGTCTGTCTGTCCCTGGGAAATGGGGACTCTTTGGAGGGCCTGCGCAATTGGCACCCCTGACCCAGTACAATACACCGCCCCCCTGCCCTGACTGTGACACCTCCATCCTTACCGGAACTCATGGGCGTAGCCAAGGGGTGCAGCTGTCCCCCCAATCAATCAAAATCAATACAAATCAATACATGAGGTTCTGCCCCCCCCCCGTAACAAAAGCCTGTCCCTCTCCTTAACAAAAATCCTGGCTATGCCCATGCTAGAAGGCTCCCCCCTCCCTCCGGCGTCGTCCTCGGGGCCCTCTGATTTGACACCCAAGCACCTCTCCCCTCACAGCTGAACCCCCAAAACAACGCGCCGCTTCCGCGGGCCGCCACGCCCAGGCGAGGCCTACCTCCTCAGGCACGCCCCTCTCTCATAGCCTCGGCCCACACGGCCTGCTCCGCCCTTCCGCGTCGGCCGCGAAGCCCGGCTCGGTTCCTGCCGTTGCCAGGCGGACTGAGAGGGCGGAGGCCGGGCGGGGAAGAGGGCTGGCTCGGGCCTTCTCCAGACGCGAGGTCTCTGCTCCCGGATTCGTAGCCCGGCCGGCCGTGAGGGAAGCAGCTGGCCGGCTGGTCTGCCTTCCTGCCTCAGAATATGCAGGGCCTGGTCGACGGGAGAGATGCTGCCATCCCCGCTTCGGAATATATATATATATATATATTTACGCCTACGCTAAGGCACAGTCACAGGAGCTAACTCCTAGGGGTCGAGGTCCCTTCGCCCTCCCCCCCACAAAAGAAATAAAATAATGGAGGGGGTCTGCCCCCTCCCCTAAAATTTTTTTAAGGGCATTGCCGCCCAAAGTGGCTGGGGAAACTCAGCCAGATGGGCGGGGTAGAAATAATAAATAATATAATATATATAATATATTATTATTATTATTATTATTATTATTATTATTATTATTATTATTATTAAAATGTGGGTGCGCCCCATCATGTGATCGATTGTGCAGGCTTACCTGGGCTTCCCCCCCCAAATATATTACTGTATTCAAGTTGGCCCCCCTGGGCACAATGCAGTCGCACGCAGGTAGTGTGTCTCTAAGCAAGTGCCGAGTGCATTTCTCTCAACGCTGTTTTAAGGGGGCTGCCGCCATGGGCGTATCCAGGGATTTATGTTGGGACATCCAGCTGTCATTTTCCTCTGTCTGGCTCTGTCTAGCAAGAGTGGAATGAAATGTCTCCACAACAGCTCTTTTCAATTACTTTCTTTTGACCCCAAGCGCTCAGGAAAATCTGTCCAAATCTTCAGTCGTTTGCAAACTAGGAAGTTAAATAAAAAAAAACTGCATCAGGGAGAACCTTTCATGAGGTTAACGACTGTATTTTGCAAAATTACAAAGAACATGCCTTTTTCCATTTTTTTTTAAAAAAGCTATAAACTAAAACAAGCTTTCTTGGATTTGCTGAAAACCTTTTCAGCACTTCCTTCTCAAATCCTCCCACCCACCCCCTGTAATCTCACGGTATACAAGTTGTACAAGTGACAATAAAGTATTTCAATAGTTTTTCTGTGCACGCTCAGTAAGCATAGCCGATTGAGATGCTCCCGTCATCTTCAGCCTTAGCCACAATGAGCATTTTCATTTCAAATATTACTTCAACTTTTAATTATTATTATTATTTTTTATTTAGGGGCAGCTTTACCCTCCCCCCTCCAGCTACTCCCATGGCTCTTGCTGCCAACCTGGTCCTAGGACAACCAGGGAGGTTCCCGTGCAGGATCTCTTGAAAATAAGCACTGGAATATACAGTAGGGCAAAGTAATATGTATATTATGCAATGAGTCCAGCCCAGAACATCACGTGAGGAGACGTGATGCCTTTAGCGTAAAACTAAGGTTTCGGACTGGTTTTATTTTGAACGGGAGCCTTTTCTAACTTGATGTGAATTTTAGGAGATTAGAATATCAAGTATAGATTTCCCCACTGCACCAGAGCTTCTGCACATGCAGAGATTTAGTTTTTAGATTTCTCTATTACGTTACTTTTATTGCAGAACCAAACAATGACAAGTATCCCGATTTAATTAGTGCAGAATATGAACAATAGGGCAATGCTGGGGAAGGGTGTGTACTAAATGAAAAAATAGTTATTTCCTGTTGTCCCAGCTGCAAGATTGTACAGAAGTTAATAGAGTGTGTGAATGAATTGATGCTCTGGGATGGGTCTTACCTTAGTCAGGAAGAATGAAGCTACACTTTATCGTCGTTAAACCTTTCAATGTCATTTCCACTTTATTTTATATATTCTTGTTGCATCCCAGCTTTGTTCTCCACTGTATAGATACACATTGCAACATGTGCAGTTTCCACATATGAACCAATCCATCAAATTTGGGCTTTAGCTTTTCTTCTATTAAAAAAATAGAATTTCAGCAACATATCCTAAATATTTATGATGGTACACTGAAAAACTGCAGATGGGATATTGAGAAACAATCGTCAAATAGGTAGATTCTGAGATAGCAAAGCCAAGTTTAGATTCTACAAAATAAATTAGTTTGGTGTTAGCATAATGTTCTGAATTAAGCAATTTTTGAAAAAAGGTTTGTGTAATGAATGAAAGAGAAACAATTGCAGAGACACGCTTCTGTCCAGTCCAATTGTGCAAAGGGTTTTACCAAGGAGGTACAAGCTTTTGTACAAATGAACACCACTTCCTTATCTGATTTCCTGTAGCAGAATATACAAAATCCTCTTGCTTAGACACACCCCAACAGCAATACTGTGTCTCAGTTTCACCATAAGAGTGTGCAGCTTACACTATTGTCTAAATAGCATATTGTATTTCTAGGTGTGCCAGTGTCAGTTTATTTGGGCTAAATAATTGGATTACACTGGATCTATAGGATATTTTGTGTCAACCCCATTTTCAAACATTGCAAGACAAAAGAGTACGCAAGAGTACTCCATTTTTCTTTTTTACAGAATTCTCTAAAACTTTATAGTAAACTCAAATTTAATGTAAATTAAGTAGCCATGTTTTTGAGAATATTTTTAAATTTTAAGTTCTACTGCTATTAGGAAATCAGGACAAAAATGTTTATTTCTAACAGCAGTACCGCATGCAAAAAAATTTTTAAATGCAATACTGTGATGATACAATTGAAACAAATATTTGATGTGCTCATAAACATGTGTTCTGTCTGTATTATAGAGAAGCCTTTCTTTTCTAAAAAAATCTTTCCGGTGACACATACTCAGAGAGGGGAAGATTTTATCACAGTAACATTTCACTTTAAAGTAAATAAATAAAATGAAGAAAGGTGCTTTTGCCTTTTGCACATTTTAGATACATTTACTTTCTGGAATTCCTGGGGATAAAATAATGAACTGTACCAACAAAGTCTTGAATAGTGAAGTAGAATGTGTTCAGGGAACAAGGAAACAGAAAATAGGGGTAATAATGTTCTTTTTTTAATAGAGGGGAGAATCAAAATTAAATATCAAGCCGCCTTATTTTTAAAGTTTAAAAAGTGAGAAGACTTGCTTGATATTGGCATATAGATAGAAAAGCAAGCAACACCATCTGAAAATCACCGCCTAAGACCCTTACTAGTTTTGTAAAGTTTATATTTACTGGTATTTCTTCTGTCTCTTAACTAGGTTGGAGCTGCGTTTGGACGAATAGCTAAAAGGCTTCCAAATCTGTCCCTGTGTATATAGAACAAAGGCTACAGGTTTATACAAATAAATTTAGCTCAGTATTTTCTAATGATATGCAGCACCTCTCCAGGATTTCAGACAGGTCTTTCCCAGCCCCACCTGGAGATGTCAGGAATAGGTGCTCTGCAACTGAACCACAGCCCTCCCATGATGTCAGACACCCCTCAAGGTGTTTCATGGCCCTGAAAGGCAATATAAATATCCAGCTAAGTTTTGCATCACCAGAACAGGGACCAATGTGATTTTAAATAATTGTGCCATCTTTATAAATCTGCCCAACCCTTCAGAGCAGCATGACACATGATATAGGAATATCACCTCAATACCTATTCCACTGACAAAGCGCTGCTGCATCAAAGAGCCTTAACATCACTGGAGGCACACTCATTGGATGCAGCCAAAATGTATCAATTGCTTTAGCCTAGGGTAGCTGGAAAACTAAAGTGCTCTTCTGCAATTCCTAATGAGGTTATGTCTGGGTAAAAAGGACTCCTGTGGTTGGAGGCTGTATTCTTCTAAATACCAGTAGCTGGAAACTACAGGCAGGGAGAGTTCTCTTGCACTCAGTTTGTGCTTGCAGGTTTCCCATAGACATCTGGTTGGCCATTGTGAGAACAAGATGCTGGACCAGATGCGCCACTGGCCCGATCCAACGGGCTTTTCTTGCGACTGCACCCAAGGAAAAAGGGACACTTCTTACCTTCCTTTTGCCTCTGCCACCCAGGAGATTTGAACTCTGAATGATTTGGCTGGTTGTATGTCCAAAACACTACACGGATCATTCATTTTCTAGATTTGTGAATGCTTAAATGCCATCTACCCCTTCATGGATCACTGCCTTGCCGTGGCGAAGGGGCTTGAACAACTCAAGAGAAGCTATGAACTATGCCGTGCAGGGCACCCAAGATGGACAGGTCATAGTGGAGAGTTTTGACCAAACATGATCCATCTGGAGCAGGAACCGGCAAGCCACTCCAGTACCCTGCCAAGAAAACTCCATGGACAAAGACAACAGGCCTGAAGCTGAGACTCCAATACTTTGGCCACCTCATGAGAAGACTCCCTGGAAAAGACCCTGATGTTGGGAAAGATGGAGGGCACAAGGAGAAGGGGACGACAGAGGACGAGATGGTTGGATAGTGTTCTCGAGGCTACCAGCATGAGTTTAACCAAACTGCGGGAGGCAGTGGAAGACAGGAGTGCCTGGCGTGCTCTGGTCCATGGGGTCATGAAGAGTCGGACATGACTAAACGACTAAACAACAACAAACAACAAAAAATGCCATCCTGGACTGTGTATAGAAGAGGTATGAATTAAAACAAACGCACGCACACGCGCGCGCGCGCACACACACACACACACACACGTTGAAACTTCATTTCAGCTCTGATAATCCTGACCGGAATTAGGAATGCACTACCACAATGAGGCCACTCAATAAGCGTTTAGCAAAACGTCACAAAAGGATTGCTCTTCCACTTTTTTCTGCTCATTGTGCAACCTTAAAACTACTTTCAGAGGAAGGAAGGCTTGAGAAATTTCACTCAATACGTAGAGGGCTTCTTGGGGAAAAGAACGAACTTCAAATCAAGTCACATGGATGTATCCCGTAAATAGAGACCATAAAGCTCTTTCCTAACACTGACCTATTGGTTTCTAAGTAGCTCTATTACTCTGCTAAGTCAACATGCTAATACTATTGTGCAGACTGCCATCTGAAAGTTTTCCTTTTATAGGCAAGGATCAAGCACTGCTTCTAAATACTTGTTTGTTTTGGGCAATGTGACACCAGCACATGTTTGAGAATAACTACTACATGCTGCAATCCTATGTAGAATAAAACTTAAATAGGAATTACTTGCAAGTTATCAAGGTTAGGACTGCACTGCTAGTGACATAATGTGAAAAGTGAAATAATGGAGATAGTAGTCATGCCTACAAAATGCCTTGGACTGCAGAATATAAAACCCAGCACTAATACAATCAGAATTCTTTTTAACATTCCAGCCTTGGCAAGCCCTCACTTCACTCTCTGTGCTTCTACTCTTCCCACTATTCTCCTCTTCCAAAGAAATTCCAAATTACACCAAAATTCTGTATTTCAACATGGGAGCTTCCAACCCTTTATGTTTCTGTCTCTCTTCTTTGAATTCTTTTCCAGAATTGTATAGGATGAGATTCAATGTTTAGTAAAATTTTCCCTTAACTTTTGGACACTTGAGTGTGTCAAAACTCTAAAATGACACTTATTTTTCCAATGTCAAGAGTGCACAGAGTTGCTTACTTTGCAGCTAGAGAAGACAACGCAAACCCACAAAATACAATTAAGTTCCACATACGTTAGAATTTTAAATGTTTCAAAGACAGGCAGTTGTCAAAATCTGGCTGCATTGCCAGCAAGTTATAAAACCTCAATCTAATACAAAGATACAAACTCCATATGCACAGTGAGGATGTATATTGTTTATTTACCGTCAGTAATTTACATAAGGCAAATATTAATAGTTGGAACACCTGCAATGTATGTACAGAGAGCAACGTAAATCTCAAAGAGGCTTTTGTCTATTAGTAACCGAACCATTTTAAAATTATGCCTTTAAGACCTTCTTTAGAAATAATTTATTGCTGATGCTGAACTAAGGCAAGAGGGATTTTTTTTTTTTACAAAGTAGCAGATTCTCTTAGTCCCTGGAAAGTTACAAAAGTTACAAATATAAAAAAAAATGTAAAGCCACAAAACACCCCACATTTATACAAAGCTAATACAAATCCTGGATTCATTAGATAAATATTATGTGAGGTTGTTACCAAATATATTTTTAGAGAAAAGGTTTCTAGAATGTAAGCTCTCAATGTTCTTGAAGAATGAGAAAGCAGTTTTAAATAAGTGGCAATTTGCTTTCAAGTACAAGATAAAAGAAAACTGCAAATGGCAGTATTGCAATGCTGTGTCATCTTTACAAGTCTGGTCTTAGGGATGTCTTTGTTGTGGTACCAGAAAAAGGCCTATTAAAAAAACCTGGTCTTTGTGCAGTTGACTCTAGCACAAAGAAAATCTAATCAGGGGCTCAAGCAAGAATTTGCTGCCAATGAATTGGATGTGGACTTAGTCATGCTTAGAACAGATCCACTGAAATCTTTATGGGAAGAGTCCCATAATTTTCCAACTATGACCAAGTCTGGATTCAACCTAGGCTTCTTCTTAAGATAAGTTTCCAAATAATCTTACAAGAAAATCACATTTGGTTTAAGTGAAAAGCATCTTGAGAGTGTGCAACCATCACCTTGTCTTCAAAGGCTGTTTTCAAAGTCTCCCTCTAGTTTTTGGGTTCTTCAAACTGCTCTCCCACACGGCAGTGAACTTTTCAAGAAGCCTGAGAGTGGGGCAGCAGTAGTCCCATCCTGCACTTCAGTGAGAAAAGAGGGTTCCCTAAGCTTTGAAAAGTGGCTGTTTATACAGTGCTACTCCAAAATAAGGCATGTTAAGACTTGTTTTTTGTTGTTTAAAAAGATCAATTGCCTTAATTTTTCTACTGCATTTTTAAAAGAATTTTGACATTCAATGTTTTATTTCAGATTTTTGTTACAGTCTAAAATATTATATGCAAGATCACTCCATGTTTATTCCACGGAGGTTAGAATGAAAACAAACCTCTAATTTTACTTAAATACAAATCCCAGAATTTGCAGAAGCATTTTGGAAGCATTTTGTTAAACGACACTTGAGAAAAAGTGTTCTTGCAAACCAGCCCTGCATTTGAAAGTGACATCTGAAAATGCAAACTAGACATGACACACAGTTGTGTGTATCTTTCCCATGACTTTTTTGAAGTTGCCATGAAAGGTTAAGCGGATGAGTAGCCAGGGGCTGCTTCACTCTTTTCCCTCTAGCTCATTTTCCTATCAAAATTACACCCCCACCACCAAGCTGTGGAGGAAAAGCAGCTGTGTATGTGTGAGACTGAGTGGGAAAGCTGCCAGCTGGGAAAGGACCACCCCTCTCCTCCCCAGTTCCCTTAATTAAATTTGCAGCCCCACCCCCAAATGTCTCCTTTTGGTTAAAAAAGCCAAATACTCCAAATCTCTCCACTTCTAGCCATTTTTCTGGAGTACAATGGGAAATTTGTGCACCACGCACTTTAAAAACTATACCCATTAGCAATATTATAAAACTGTTTGTTTGTTGATGTATTGTGAAGTGTATTGTGTTTATTTTATGTTGGAAAATCAATAAAAAATTTATTTAAAAAAAAGCAATATTATAAAACTGAGCCAATGAAACCATTTTGTTTCTTCCTATTTGCTTGTAGTTCCACATAAATCATGATTTGTTAACACATTTAAAAACAAATACTGCCCTTAACTATATATTACTTAGAAGACTAGCAAAAAGCGCTTTGCATACCGATTTTGATTGACTCCTGAAAGAATACAGGAGTGGGAGAAGTATTATCCTCAGAACACCTACACCTATACTGTTACACTTCAGAATATCTGAGTGGGTGGTTTCATTTTTATTTTTAGTATTTTCTAGCAAATATGCAACATCTCTGTGCTGTAGCTAAGTTTAACCTGGCAATGGAGTCCCCACCCCACAAAAGGCCACAATCTGAAACATTGGCATTTGTGTTAAGGCCACCGCAAGGAAAAGCAATTAAGAGGCACTTTAGGTTAAAGGATTCTGCATCAATTAACAGTGTTTTCTGATGCTGTAATAGGCTCACTATTCCACACTGAGCCTGTTCTATTAAAGCACTTAATTGGCACGAGCTCTCAAGTTACCTGGATCTAGACAGCAAAACTAAATTGGTTTCAAACCTATGGATTTTGCTGACTGACTTCCTTACACAAATATTACGGAATTACAATAGCAATGCATCAAATTTGGCCTGTGTAACAAAAAAAGGGGGAACTGTGCTGCTAATCTCTGATCATGTTAACCATTAAAACATTTATGAGAGTAAAGCGTTAGAACAGGCATAAGTATCCATTGCTTTTGTAGATGTTCCCTTTAAAGCATAGCATAAAGTTATGTTTACAGTTAACTTGGAAACCCAGAGTAACTAGTAGCATATGGGCTTTTAAACCAACACCTGAGAAATCGAAAATGTCACTAGCCTCCTCAGAATTGAGATGAAAAAAGGCAGTTAGTTCCACAAAACTGTTGTGTTTTCAGTGAATGAGGTGTTTACAAGGCTGAGTTATTGAGGTGTGCAGCAACTGAGGTGGAAAGTGGAGGCCTTTTAAAATTTCACTGTCTTGCAATATGGCATTTCAAGGTTATCATTCAGTTCCCTTATAATGTTTGATAATCACTTTCTGCATTTTTGGCCAGCAATATAATATTCAGTCCTGTATATTAATACAGTTATGTGCATTCTCAGTATTGTCAACACTATAGATGCACCTGACATCTATAAACACTGCTGCTGCTTAACAGAAACAAATCTCTTGCTTGGTTTCCTCCATCATCCAAACCATAATGTATGAGCTAACTGAACAACAACAATAAAAAAAATCCTCAAGGAACATTCTTAAAACAGTTAATTCACAGCAACTGGCAGACATCTAAAGCTGCAAACAGCTGTGCGATTTAAGCTAGTTAGTTCCAAACTTAAAGCATAGATTTTTTTGTCAAACCACATGATCTAACAACGACCAATTAAGATCAGAAGTCCCTTTGCATGATTCTTTTTGATTAAAAAATTCCCGGGTGGTGGACCTCCTTTCTGGTACCATTTGGCGAACATCCTATATTGGCATGGAAGCAAAAATGCATTTGTAAACTTCAAAGACAGCTTAATTATTTGACAGGGTGGAGCTATTTGCCACAAAGAACTGACGGTGGTGGTTGGCCAAGCTTGGAGAGCAGTCCAGAGTTATACAAATCTCTTCTATAGCCCTTTCACATGCCAAACTGCTTTTTAAACTTAATCAAGTTTCCGAAGTAAATTCTTTAAACTGCATGTCTACAAGTTACTTGTTATTGGAGTACAGGCTTCGTCAGGCTGAAAAGAGGGAAGAGGTTAAAACTTGTGAGTTAGCTTTAAAAAAGTTGAGGTCTGTTAAGAAATGAAAACTCTTTCAAGACACGAGATATAGCGGAAAAGATTTAAGCCTGAATTTTGAGAGAAGTTGGCAATTAACTGGAACAGCAGCAGCTTTACCCCACACATCATGAGGTCGGACAAGACCTTTTTCCAACTCCTGCTGTAAACTATTAACACAAATCAAAGTTTTTTGTTGTTGCTGCGCATCACTGTAGCATGAGTTGCTTGAGGTTGTCATGAAGGATGGTATCCTTTACATCACGGAATACCAGGCGGATATTTTCTGTATTAATAGCAGTGGTGAAGTGGTTGTACAAGGGCTTCTGCTGCTGCTGGTCCCGGCGTTTCGTGCGAAAACAATCCACCAGGAATTTTTGGACGTCTGTTAAGTTGTGGGGATCCCCTTCAAACTCTGGGAAATAGTCTTTGATGCTCACTTTTTGCACTTTTTCCTCAAGTAAGTCTGTCTTGTTTAGGAAGAGGATTATGGAGACATTGCTGAAAACCCGGTTGTTGACTATAGTTTCAAAAATGTTCAGAGATTCTGTAAGGCGATTTGTTAGTCGATCCTCCATAAGTACCTGGTCGAATTCACTCGATGAAACCAGGAACAATATAGAAGTGACGCTGTCAAAGCATTCAAACCAACGTTTTCGCTCTGACCTTTGGCCACCTACATCAACCATCTTGAAGGGAACATTTTTAATCTCAAAATCATACTCATGAATCCCTTTTGTAGGTCTTCGTGCCAGTAGAATATCTTGCTGGGAGGGAAGATAGTCCTAAGAAACAAACAAACAAACAAAAGTTAATTAAGGTGCTGTGAATGGTACTGAACATTAAAATGAACTGCCCTGGAATGTTTGAAACAGAAAAGATTTTATCATCCTTTGTTATCTAAATGTTTTTGTTTTTTAAAAAATAACTCAGTAGTTGCGTGTGTGATACAGTGCCAAAAGTATAATGAGAATGATATCATTCTAAGTTTATCTCATTTAATTGATTAAACAGTTTTCAGTGACAAATATATGGTTTCAGAAAGAGAAATTATTGGGGGCAGGGAGAGAAGGGAACCATTTTCTATAATTGTGTTTTATTCAGGAAAGCACTTACCTAATTTCTAACATCCTGCAAAGTTAGCTATATTATTAAGTAACTAATAGTGTGTCTGAACATTAAATAAAGCCCCCCCCCAACTTAAAATCATAGAATTTAAAGTTGGAAAGGACCCTCAGGGTCATCTACTTCAACCCCCTGCAATGCACTTGAGAGAAAAATATAATTCTTCCCTGTGGAGACTGATCAAATTATACCTTGTCATCTTGAAGATTTCTAACAGGAGCATTTTCTGCAAAGCAGAATTAAAATGCTAACATATCCTAGTTGATTTGTTCTAATCAAGAAAAGAAATACAGAAGAGTTTTATGGACAGAAGAAGACACAGCTTGCTACTTTTCAATCTTTTTGGCTATGCAGATTTGCAATGCTATTTCTTCTCTGGATAATGTAGTTCAAGTTTAGGATCTTTATCTTTCAGAAGCGGACACCTAAGCCCAGAATAATGCTGCTTAACAAGCAGAAGAATGTGGAAGACAAACACGGGAGCTGAAGAAAGGCGTGTGCTGCATGATGTGAAGGCAAGATACGATTGAGAAATGCTGGGAGCTTCCCCTCCTTCCCAAGACGCTTCTCACGACTTCGCTGCTGCTGGGGCCTAAAGCCCAATTCAACAGGCTCACTCCCACTACACAAGATTAACCAACTCAACTTAAAACAGAACAGTCTGGCTGAAAAGTGATTATGGCTCAATTTGCACATCATTGTAAGCAGTAAGTCAGGGGTCAGCAACTTTTTTCAGCTGTGGGCCGGTCCGCCGTCCCTCTGAAGGAGCGTCTCCACCCCCATCATTCTACCTGGACACTGAGGTCCAGCACTGAGGGCCTTCTGGCGAGAAGCCCAGTTACAGGGAACCAGGCAGAGGGCCTTCTCGGTAGTGGCACCTGCCCTGTGGAACACCCTCCCACCAGATGTCAAAGAGAACAACCATGTGGTGGGCTGGACTATATTTTTTTGGGGGGGAAAGGAATGAATTCCTATGCCCCACAAATAACCCAGAGATGCATTTTAAATAAAAGGACACATTCCACTCATGTAAAAACATGCTGGTTCCCGGACTATCCATGGGCCAGATTCAGAAGGCGATTGGGCCGCATCCGGCCCCCAGGCCTTAGGTTGCCTACCCCTGCAGTAAGCCACGGCTTGCCGTGAATAAGCAACGTGCTAAAGCACACTGCTCAAATTGCTCCTGCTTCATCGTTCCATCCAGCCTAGAGATGTGAAAAACAAACCATGAAACCTAGGCTTAGTGTTAACATGCAAACCTGCATTGGTAGTTTGTTTCTCTCCAAACAAATCAGAAACAGAAGTCAGGCTTTGCTCCTTGCTTACCCATTAATGTTTAGAGATAAAACAAACCGTGAGCACTGGTTTGCCCATAACACTAAGCCAAGGCCTGTGTTAGCTTCCACCTTTTTTGTATGCCTTTGGAGCTTATAAACAATTCTATAATCCTGATGGAAACTGTGGCCCTGAAGACGCTGTTATTCGCTTTACTGTGTTTTAGAGCTTCCGAAGAACTGGGCAACATGCAATTTGAGCAGACAAAAAACACTATTAGCATCAACCATAGCACTCTGAGTCAATGGAGGAAGCTTAGTAGAGGATGCCAATGACTACTGAACACAAACACCACATAAGCAGTTTGTTGGCATGTTTTCTCACTTTTAATTTGCAATATAAATTAACTTTCAACTGTTACAAGCTGTAAAATAAGTAAAAACATTCCAAACATACCAGACTGCTTTAAAAATCAATGAAGTTACACTTACTTGTTCTCCAAGTTTATCCAAGTTATCCAGAAAATATTTCACAGATTCCCCCTAAAATGAAGGAATTGTACAGTTAATTGCTTTTCATAGGTAATATATGAATACAACTATCTAATGCAAATTAGATAAAGCAGGTATATTGCACCCCATTCCTAAACACACTTGCTTGAAAACAAATGCCACCAAGATCTGTGGGACTTGCATCAAATCAATGGCCACAATCTATCATAGGGCGAAGCAGATTGATTCCAGGGAATTTAAGCATTCTGAACAGTCCTGGATTGGGACCAATGTACATGGTATCAGGGTGTGCAAGGTAACTGTTTAGAAATTCTGCTTACAAGGAGGTAAAGATGGGGAAATGACTCCAAGTGTGACAATGATTTCTGAACTTCTGCATAATTTGTCTGCACAAATTTGCTGCTCATCTGTTTAAAGGGGGAAGATTGATACATTGACATTCATATGAGTTACATGCACATAAGATTCTATTTCAATAAATACAACTGGCTGTAGCAAGCAGCAACCCAAATTGCAAGGAAGTGCAAAGTCACTAATAACAGAGAACGTTGGAATATAACTCCCACCACATTCACCATAAACTAGTACATCTTTTTAAAAAGTGTTTTGAAAAACGCACAACATTTCAAATTACCTTTCCATGCATACAGAAAGTTAATATTGCTGGCGCAAGCCAGAGATGGCTCATCATGGGGGGGGGGGCTATCATTTAGCCAGTTCTTATTGGATGTTTGGCTTTTTTGTTCCCTTATGTTTTCTTTTTTCAAAGTTTACTTTTTTCCTGCAAATCTTGGAAAACGCCCAAGCATGCTCTTTTTAAATCTAAAAAAAAATTGTTTCATCTAAAAACATTTATTCCGTATTCCCCCCAAAAAAGAACCCAGAGCAGTTTAAAGCAATAAAACAAATATGCCCAGATAATTTATTACACAATATCATAATAAAGCAGAACACAAGAATAAGATTGAACTCATGATAAAGATAAAAAGAAAAGAAAAGCATCAACATACCACTCTTGTTTCTCACAGCCCCCTTTATGGTTACTATCCTGCTAGTACTCACAAAATGCACACAGCATATCTTCAGGCTTTATATTTTAATTTGGTCAAATCAGGTTTTCATAATAAGAAACAAATCTGCATTTAGTGCAACTGCAGGGCCTGGGGCTGATGCATGTAATAATCACTGTGAACAGTGACAAATTCTGGAAGGATAACCGTGTCATTCTCCTGACGTAAAAAGAGAATCTTGAGGAACTGTAAGCATGAAGATTTACTGTGGTGTAAACATGCACTCTATTAGATGTATAAATGTTTATCCTCAATTGGAAGATTTTCAAAGATCCTCTTTCCCTCTTTTAGCCACTCCCTTTTCTCTGTTCCCTTTCTCCCACACAGTCGTCCCTCTCACTTTCTCTCCTTTTCCATCTTATGTGTACAGTTATCATCGCCATCAATCACTGCCAATGTGAATGGACTCTTATGCATATATCTCACATTTCATGACGATTTGGCCTCACTAATGAATTTTATCTTTCCTGTAACCAGTCTCCTGACTCAGGATCACATTTCTTGCACCTAATGAAGTGGGATTTAGCTTGAGAAATCTTGTGTCACAACAATCGTGTTAATGTAAATGTCCCACCATAATTGTGTTGCACGAAGCACTCCTGTTTGCCAATGTGAAAAGTATGCAATGGTTACTCATAGAATCTCATAGAAAACGAAGTTCCAGCCAAGGACATGTTTTCACTTTGCATAAACTACATACAGGGTAGATATGGGACAAACCTGATGCTCACATGCATATTTGACCCAGAGAATATGTGGAATAAATCTTGGCTTCCAAACTGTTGGGGAAAGTCATGCAGAGGTATGAGGTTGAAGTGTCATCACTGCACTGATTGACACTCAGCTTTACTTCTACGTTGTTCTGCACAGCACTGTATAATTGCAATTGCGTCATATAACACTTAGCAGTGGGGAGGGAGAAGAAATCATAAATACAACTAGTATGGCGCAGCAAGGCAGCACTCAGCACATCTCCTGGAATCTTCTCAGTGTCCATTCACGAATTGCATGAACTTCCGTCGTTCTTCACCATCTTTCAATCTGAGAGTTATTTTAATCAGGGGTACATGCTGTAATCTCACATCCTGTTTTATTAGGCTTTAAATCTATATTAATGTGTACTGGCCACCTTACCAGGATACCTGATGTATCCAGTGGAAGCAAACTGTTGCCACAATAAAACATTTAGGATTATAGATGTTACAGTACTCATTCAGAATCATTTATTGAGAAATACAGTGTGCTTGCTTGCTTGCATTTCACTTTCTCAAATCTGTGCTTATTCTAAGGGGTTATCCACTGTGCAGGTAACATATGATGAATTCATTCCCAGATCCCCAGTAGTGATGTATGGAAGTGAGAGCTGGACCATAAAGAAGGCTGATTGCCTAAGAATTGATGCTTTTGAATTATGGTGCTCTTGAGAGACTCTTGAGAGTCCCATGGACTGCAAGAAGATCAAACCTATCCATTCTGAAGGTAATCAGCCCTGAGTGCTCACTGGAAGGACAGATCCTGAAGCTGAGGCTCCAATACTCTGGCCACCTCATGAGAAGAGAAGACTCTCTGGAAAAGACCCTGATGCTGGGAAAGATTGAGGGCACAAGGAGAAGGGGATGACAGAGGACGAGATGGTTGGACTGTGTTCTCAAAGCTACGAACATGAGTTTGACCAAACTGCGGGAGGCAGTGGAAGACAGGAGTGCCTGCCGTGCTCTGGTCCATGGGGTTACGAAGAGTCAGACACGACTAAACAACAACTGATCTACTGTCCAGAAATTTCCATGACATATATTGTGGCATTCAGGATCAGAGTAAGTTTACAGTTCACCATTCATGTCTATGTCTATCTATTCCTTCATTTTACAGAGGTTAACCCTCTTCTGTTGTTATTCTGAACACACTTACCTGGTAGCAAATCCCAATGAACTCAGTGGAACTTACTTTTTAGTAGATATGTGCAAGGCTATGTTTTTAATCATTCCTAGACTATGCTTTTAATGATCCCTAAATTATAGATTGCGCTATAATTTCATCTGCACCTTTAAAGAGGAAGAGATCAATCACTCGGTAATTTGCTTGAGGTCAAAAAGAACTCTGTGGTGAAAGAGGAAACTGCACTGAGGTTTTTTATAACCAAGGATAGCATTAAATGATGAATTTTTCAACCACATAGCAAACCATGTTCTACCAGCAAAAAATACAGAACAATTTAGACAAACTTGCAAGCCTATAGTATTGTCTGACAAGCTTTTGCTAACTTAGGGAAAACTTTTATAGTACTCACCAAATAAGTAATGTTATTGTTTGTAGGCTGAGACAAGCTAGTTCTGAAGGTTGTATTTTATGTACTTTGGGATGCCAAATGTGAATTTTGCTTTCCCCTAAGCAAATGAATAAATAGTATTTTACCTGAAATTTAAGATGACAGCCATTTGTTCTAGATGTCTATAAAATCCAGACCACTTGCCCAAACTATGAAATAGAGTACCTAAGTGCTGAATGCCGTACTCATATGAAATCTCAAACATTTCTGTTAAGAAGTCGCCAAGATACAGCAAATATCTTTCCTTGTTTCGTTTCTGTCATCCCCATTTACAACTCCCGCTCCACAGTGTATCTTTGTTTCCCCCTTTTCTTTCACCTAGAGATGCATCAAAATTTCAGGAGAATGCCAAAGGACTTGCTCTTCCAGGTTTTTGTGCAAATCCACTGTGTATTTTATTGAATATCAGACTTAACTATTGTAATGCACTCTACGTAGGGCTGCTCGTGAAGAGTATTTGGATGCTGCAGCTTGTGCAGAATGCACAACGAAGCTGCTAATGGCCAGCTCTGACCAGACATGTATTACACTAGTCCAGAAATCTGCATTGGTTGTGAATTTGCTTTTGAGCCCAATTTAAGGTGTGAATACCGGCATATGATGTCCAAAATATATGAAGGAGAGGCTACACTCAAATTGGGCATAGAGCACTAGAATATCCCATTTAAAACCATCACAGAACATGTCAAGATGAAAAGTATAAAAATATGAGAAAATCACAAGCAATTTCAAACACACATGCATGCCATTTGTTTCCTTATACAGTCAGAAGCTATCAATAACCAAGTGTTAACTCTCTAAATCTAACAGACTTGTGACCACTGATATTTGAGCTTGGATGTTTCCACAGGGTTACAAATAGAGATCCTCCAACCCTACCCTGTAACTGAACATTGTATGGATTTCTGTACACTAAGATGGCAAAGAAGCTTAACAACATCACTGGTGTACAAAGTTTAAAAAGGCCTTCTGTCATTTTGCTGGCCTTCAGCCAGTGTCTCTGAATGCTCAGGGAACATCTGCTCTCTTGTTGAATTCATCAGCATTATCCAGGGCCAAACTCGGCTACAAAGCCTGGTCTTTTTTCCAACTGAAAGATCTGAGTAATCTACAGATGCTCACTGTTAAATACACTGATTCATAAACAGCAAGTATTCCGTTTTCAGAGGGGCTGTATTTAGATAGCATGTGGTTCTCCCCGTAGTCTTGTGATCAACTGAAGAAAGTTTAAGCAAACATTTTAGTACATTTAGACAAGTGCTGGTTTATGATGAACTGTGAGAAAGGAAATACTTAACCTAGAACTTGATGACACATCCAAAGCAAAATCAGTATTTTCTCCTTAAATATTGTATTCATTTACAGAAGCCTAGCCTATTTCCATCTGAGTCAGACATCTGGCAAATTAGTCATAGAATCCAGTTTCAGTTTGCAAACAGGCAACAGCAGTAACTATCTATGCACTATAAACCAATGTGCCCTTCTGCAGGCGAGGCAGTCAGAATTATTCACAAATGGGAGAGCTGAATATCCAAAAAGGCTTCCCTTGCAACTTAACTGCACAATTAAGTTGCCCAATGCAACATGTGTTACTTGTCACACCCGACCTTGGTCTCCTAGTACCACCAGTTCTC